AAGGATTGTGTTGAGAGAGGTTGCTTCGACTCTTTGCAAAGCTTTCGATAATTATCGTGGATACGTTCCATCTGATTTAGTTGCAGGACTTTTACTGCTCAAGAAAAAACACAAAAAGCAAAGAGAAATGGTATTATGAAAAAGGTGGTGTATGTTCTTAATTGCATGTTAATTATTTTCAGGAAAAGAATAGAGACTTCAATTTGAATTTGTCAAAAGAGGTATTGTGCAATACTTAGATCCACCCATTATTCATAATGAGACTTATTGAATCTTAGATGTCTGATAATAATATTGAGAAGATCATTCACTATTATAAGTTTGCAATGGGATCCTACGGATGGATGCTCTACATTTATACCAAAGGATTCTTTGGGTTTCTGCAGTTGCTAGCATCATCATTTTGCTCAATTTTTTGCAGATGGTATTTAAGCAAATTGATATTATTATTTATTTTTATTTTTATTTTTAGTTGTTTAAAAAAAGAGCCAGCAGGATTGCTGCAACATACTAGCATTGAAGGAGACAATTTATTGAAATGGAGCACTCAATCTGTGCTCAAATGGACAAAAATTTCTAAAATGAATCTGATTCATGCAAAATTTATTAGACAAGTACGATACCATTAACAGTTCGATAATAACAATAAAATCTCTTTGTTAATGATAGGCATATTGTCCAGCTTATATAGTTGCTGTTGATCACATTGAGAAAAGTGTAGTTATTGCTATAAGAGGAACACTATCAGTCTCTGTAAGTAATGCACTGAAATGATAGAAATAATTTACTCTAATCATTGTGCCCAGGATATAATAGTACAGAGTGTTTTTTCAAAAATGGCTCCAAGAGGATTATCCATTTTTATAATTTTATTCTGATACATATTCATGTTCTTATGTTGTGTAGAAAGTTTGAATTGATTCCAATCAAAATTTAGTTTTGATGAATTTTAAAAATTGCTCCGAAATTGGGCGAGAGTTTTTGTACTATAGTACTTTGGCCAAATTTCATCAAAAAGGATTAGGAAAGAATTCTTTAATTTTATAATTATTTCTAATGCATATACTGTACACATGTACACATTCTTATGTTATTTTTCGATTTTGAGCTGATTCCAATCAAATTTGGATTTTTTAAATGAATTATTAAACTACTCCAAAATTTGGCCAAAGGCTGAATTTCGTCAAAAATGGCTTGGAGAAAATTCTTCACTTTAATCATTTTTCCTGATACATACATGTACATACATTGTATACAAATTAATAGTTTTATTTGTAACTAGAATAATAATACTAAAGCTTTGTGGTTAGGCGTATACAAGTAATTCTTTCCCTTCCTTCTCTTTCTTTGATCTGCCACTCCCTCCCCTCCCTCCCCTCCTCTACTTTTAGGATGCATTAGTTGATTTGAGTGCTCAACCCAGTCTAATTATGAAAAAAAACAATGCCAATTACTATGCACATCAGGTAACATCTACAATGTACATGTACATACATACGTGCATCATATTAAAAAATAATATTGATTATTTCTATTAACAATAGGGAATGAAAGACAGCACTTATTCTCTTCATATGAAGCTAGAGGGAGAGGGCATGCTACAAAAAATTTTCAACATCTACCCAGTCAGTTGAATTAAGGGGAGCCTACATGTACATATACATGTTCATTGTATGTCTCCTAATAGTCATACAGGTTGATCATAACAGGACATTCTTATGGAGCAGGTGTAGCTGCTTTATTATCAATGCTACTGAAGCCAGTCTATCCTAATCTTCACTGCTATGCTTTCTCTCCTCCTGGTGGACTGATAAGGTTAATCATTTTTTATTAACAATAATTATAATTATTATTATTAATTTATTTTTTAGCGATGCAGGGATTTCGTTCACAAAATCATTTATTACATCAGTTGTCCTTGGGACTGACCTTATCCCAAGGTAATGACTATCGTAGTACATGTACATGTACTTACAGTATGTACATGTAGTTGTATACATGTACAAATGTTGATTTGAATAATGCACATCAATGATAATAATTTTTAACTACATGTACATGTACATGTACATGTACATGTACATGTACATACAATGTATGCAGTACTTGTGTTACATTTCATTGTATTTTACTATTCCAGGCTAAGTTTGGATAGCTTTCAGTTCTTTAGTAAAGAGCTGCTCCACGAAATCAAAACTTGTAAGAAACCAAAAGTGAGTCTTTATAATCAATCTATTCATTATTTTAATTTTGTCCACTCTACATACATGTGCTTGTGTAGTTTTGGATTTTCGTTACCAGCTTTGTTCGATTATTTGGACTGAAGAGGAAGGAGTCCAGCGATACAGTACAACCATTACTAGGAGCAAATGAAAAAATAGAAAATGAAAGGACAGGGAGCAGGGAGAAGCTGACAGAAAAAAATTTCAAAGATGAATTTGATAGTTCACAATCGGAAGAAGTAATAATTACTACTGTACACTATAATAACAAAATTAATCATTGTAGCCTATTAATGTACTATCTGCTGTTGTTACCATGTAGAGTTATTGTATATGAATTATGGTAGTGTACTATCAATTACTGGTACTTCTGTGGGTGTATTATGCCTTAGTATACTCAATAATAATGCCACATTAGAGAGGCCAGTGGTGTTGTTTATCAAATCACAGGGTAGATGAGCGAGTGAGTCTTGTTGTGTTGTACATTAGTAAAAGCTAGGCATTCTCTGCGTGTATGGCCCAATGTTTTCACTTTTGTATATGATATGTTGTCAGTTTTGAAATGAATAAAAGGGCCACTTAACCACAGATTGTCACTGTATCCTCTCACTATGTCTGTGTGCTATTGTATTATGTACAGTGTGTGTATCTTTGCAGAATTATGTTAAATAATAGCACACACAGTAAACAACTATAATGTACACCTATCAGATTACACTGAATACAGTATTTGACCAATGGCACTTTTTAATCACTTTTAGGAGATCTGTTTGACCGATAGTGATGGATCCGTTGTTAATGATACAAAGGAACCTGCCGCCAACAGTCCTTCGGTTCCAATGCCTTCTAAAAACAGGCCCAGGCTCTATCTCCCTGGCAGAATAATTCATATTGAGAGAGAAAAACAATCAGCAATAAAACAGTAAATTATAAAAATGATAATAATAATAACGATAATGATGATGATGATGATGGTGATAATTGATATCACGTCTTGTTGTCTTGCATACCAAATCTTTATTGACTAAATTTGATTACAATAATTAAAGTATAAATAATGATATATTCTAATTATTTTGTTGCATTGAGTATTTCCTGTTTTGTAGCACACGAACTATACACAGTACACGCAATAGGTGCTATCCCCATTAGACATTAGGACAGTCTCCCTGTCTACATTATGTACTTGTATGTGTTTGTATTAATGTATAATCATGTACAGCACACACATGAGGATTCTATTATGCTCTCATCATGAACTCTGTTATACCATTTTACATAACCCATTGCTTAGTGTATAAACTTATTACACGGGGATAAGCTCATTAAAAGATTGATACGGTATTTCTGTTATTTGCTACAAACTGCACGGGCCTGTTTTTATTTTTTACTTTATTTTATTTCAGTTGTTGTTGCTGTTGTTGCAAGAGTTCAAATACAGAGGCTAGAGCAAGATGGGGCCAGCAGTCGGAGTTTGTTCATTTTCTCTGGGACGAAGACATGGTCTCTGACCATTTGCCAAGTTCACTTCTTGAAGCACTAGAAAGCCTTAAAAAAGAGTCGTTGTAGAAACAAGGATTTAGTAATTAAATTATTATGACTGTGTTGCTTCACTGTAGCATAATAAATAATTATTGTCACACTAAAATTAAAAGCTTTAGAAACTTGAGCTGTAAATAAATTATCGTTTGACGTCGTTATACGTAATAAAGAGTCATAATGACTAATGATTAAAGGTTTTACTTCCGGTTTCCTCTTTCCATTACTTAAAATCTGCGCGTGTCTCAAAGGAGTCTAAGAGAAGGAAAGAACAGTGTAAAGATCACTTTATGATATGCCTCTAGCTGTACGCTATATAGAGCCAAAGCATCTCTACCGCCAGCCATTGCCCAGAGGAGTAAAGAATGAGTTGCAGGCAGTGGCAACACTTTCTTTATGTGGAGTCATACGGCAGCTGGGAAGTTTGGCTAAACATGCGGAGAGCTTGATAGGAGACCTCTGTGAGATAATGAAGGATTGCACAGAGAGGGAAAAGCACCTGGAGGAGAGAGTAGAGAATCTTAAAAGAAAAGTAATACCCGAGCTTGACCTTGAGAGCGAAGGTGAGAAGTGATAGCTACCTCATGCATCTTTCTGTTTTTATGAGTTAGCAACTGTACATTAAATGTCATCTTCTTTCTCTCCTGTAGTTGAGAGGAATACGGAGATGGTATTAGACGTTGAACACTTTCAGAGCAAGTCCCAAATCTCCCAGCAACTCCTCAGCATTGCCACAGCTCCTGACTCACTCCTGGAGCAGTATCAAGCATCAGAGCCCAAACCAGCATTCCACCTGTTTGCTAAACACACAGAGACTAACCCTATGCACTTGTACTCGCAGCCAGAGTTCTTTTTCAATCACTGGAGGAGTGAGATGGAAAAGAAAGCATTGTCAACCAATAGGAGACGCATTACTAGCACTGGCGATACAGGAATGGTGAGTAGTGAAATAATAATTATTAAATTAAGTATTGTTTGGAGGCTGAATAATAAATCTAATGTGGATTGAATTTGAGTTTATGTTTAATAAAGGAGGCTGGGAAGTTAGTATACACATGACTAGTGGTGCATGTAACAATGTAACTTTTGAACTACAACCTTAAACATGTAGTCATGTGTGTACATATTGTCATTGTGCATTCAAGAACATGGCCTCACAAGGAGATATGAAGAGGAGAAAGGTTGAGAGAGGGGGAAGAGTGTATAGTGTGACATAAAGAAAGAGAGAAAGAGACGACTAACTATTCTATTTACTACTACTCCTTTAATCAAAGACTAGCATAAACAAGCTTGTTAGCGTTGAATGAGCACTTCTTGTCAACAGATTGTACTGACTGTCTCGTACCTTGTGTTCTTGTCAGCCTCTTTTTACACCAATTGAGCCTCTCTCTAAGCAAGGAATCCTATTAATAACAATCATCAACAGTTTCCATTTTCGACCTACGATCTCCATGTATGTCACATACACTGTTATTATTAGATCATCATTAGCATAATTAACAGGATTAAAAGTGATACTTGATACTTTTTGAAGAGTGGGGGGAGAGAGGGGGAGGAAGAAGGGGGATGACTTAGTTTTGGATATTAGATGTACATGTCGTGTTGTGCCTGTATTTTGATATGAACATAGACTTTACAAGTTAAATTACATTTGTGAGACAGGCTGACAGCTAAGGTTTATAAAAGCTTTATTTTGCAGTATAAAGTACAGTGCATGCATATATAGTTGATTACATTCCTTCATTTCAAAGTTATTTTATTAAAAATACAGATCAGAAACCTCCCAAATTGCCTGCTTTTTGTTTGTGTGTACCCCCTCTCTCTCTCACTCACAGACATATCTGTATCAATGCAATATCAACAGAGCCCATTCAATGACATTAAGGAACTGCATGCCATGCATGTACATGTATATGTACTTGTACATGTACAAGTACATTCCACTTTGTAATTGAGAAAGAGAGGAGGGAAAGATGAGATATGGTATAATGTATTTCCTCCCTCCCCCTTCTCCTCTTTTATAGTTCGAGGAATCAGTTGAAGTCTCTCAAATGCTGCCTCCTCCAACGAAACAAAACAAGAGATCAAGCAAAGTCATTGCCGGACCTCCAATGAGCTATAGCTCCACTCTACCTCTTAGGATAAAACCTAGACGTGGGAACAAAACAAAGCTGGAGATGATGGAAGCATTCTCATCAGTAAAGAAGATAAAAAACAAAGAGAGAGCGACAATCAGCAAAGACACTTTTATACAACAACAAGACACGAACAAGAGCAAGACACTTCCTTGTACGACGAGCGAAACAAAAGAAGGAGGAGAGAAAGTGAACAACGTGACTGGAGCTAGCAATAATAATTCTCAGCAAGATCAGAGTGAGTCCTCTGGTTATATGAGCCAACACTCTTCATCTTCAACTTCATTAGTAGAAGGAGAGGAGTCTACAAAGACGACTGCTACCAACCAGCCTCTTGTTCTCACTCGTAAAAAGTCATCGTCGTCTCTGAAAGGAGGTTCCCCTAAAAGAAGTGTGGCGACTGGTGACGCTGGAGGGTCCCCAGGTGCCGGTGGTAGGGTGAGCAGTAACGTATCGCCTGTCAGAAAGGGGAGTGGTCAGCCAAGTGCCACACCTTTTATCAGCCCTAAAGCAAGTCCTGAAATAGTCCATAAAACTGTTAATCTCGTTCGCTCTCTCTCTCAAACTTCACCACTACACGAGAAGGTGTTCGCTCAAGATGAGAGCTCGCTGCTCCGTCAGCCATCAGCAGGAATATTCAATTTCCCTGATCCGATCCAGTTCCTGATCAGCAACCAACACCTCAATGCGACCAATAACAGTTTCTCACTGGAAGATATATTATCTATTGATGACGATGAAGGCGATGCTTCTCAAGTAGCTCCTCCTACTGACACGCCCACTCAATTACCAAACGTATCTTCAGTGAGTTCTTTAAAGGCTCCGCCTACAGAGTCCCCAGTTTCCCGCCGGAGCCTTTCCTTTAACGAGAGTCCAAGAGCTCCTCGTAAGCTCCGCCCAGCTCCGTCTCCTCCGACTGGGACCACACCCGTGAGACGACACTATTCAATGTCCAACGGGTATAACCCTAAAAGAAATGATAACATCTCACGTGACAGTTCAGCCGAAGCCTCGCCCACTTTATCAAGAAAGTCAATGAGTCAGATCAATGAGTCGCCAGTTCCCAGACGCAAAGCTCCTCCTCCTCCTCCTCCTGCTCTAGTAAAGGCTCCTTCTGATAAACAGTCCTCAGGACATATTGAGAGAGTCCAGTCATTATCCAATGTGGAGGGAGGGGCTAGGTCTGGAGTGCCACGTCCACAGACACGGAAAATGTCACATGAAGTTTTACATTCTCCGACTTCTCCAAAGAAATCACCACAGTCTCCAAAGAAATCGCCACAGTCTCCAAAAAAATCTCCACCTAGCAATGTCACTGGGGTTGTACAAGACGGTCACCATGGAAACCGAAAAGGAAGTGAGTCTAAAGGCCGTAGCCATGGCAACCCACCAATCGCTAAAAAAGAAGACAAGAAACACGATGCAGTGACTAAAGAGCATCGTCATAGCAACAGCGTAAGCACGCCCCCAGCAGCAACAAACAAGGTCCAATCTCCGACCATGCCCAAGCCGGGGTCCGGTAGTCATGGCAACAAACTGATCCTACTCATGAAAAGGCAATCAAGTGCTGACAAATTAGGAAACAAGAAATCAACCAATCAGATTCTCCGAGCATCCGGGATAGAAACGGGGTTAACGACTGAGAGAAGCATCCTTCTCTCTTCGATCAGAAAAGGAATTCAATTAAAGAAAGTCCAGCAAAGACAACTGGAGGAAAAGATACCTTCAGATCTCATGCCTTGGGACGTGGCGGCCATCTTGGAGAGAAGGAAAGCCCTTGAAGGCTCCGATAATGAACTGGATGACGGGCTAGTACAGGATGCTGAATGGGAAGAAATTTAATGTCACACACACACAACAAGTATTGAATAGAGGTATTTAATAGAAGGAGACGTTGTTACCACATGCAACAAAATTAATTTGACACACACACAAGCACACACACACACACACAGCAATTAATCATCATTGTCACTAGCTTGAAGCATACTGATTGTATCATAGTTATTCATTAACAGTGTCATTTTTGCTCATTCATGGAGGATTGTACTGAGGGACCAACCTATTATTATTATTATTGTTGTCGTTGTTGTTACTGTCAATATTGAAATCATAATTATTGTGATCAAAATCATGTCATCTCAAATTAATATATTGATTATAATTATTGTTATTATACAGTTCATTTATCAATGTTATTTATAAGTACCGTACTTAAATAATTATTGCTTTAGTTTACTAGTTGGTGTATGATGGACAGTCATTTTGTTGATTAAATGCTGTTAAAGTTGTACGACTTATAGCCACACCCTTCAGAGATAGTGAAGTTGAGTCAGTTATCTATAGTAGGGAACACGATTATAACAGACTAAATATTGTTATTAATGTATGCTTTAGACAAAACTAATTGGAGGACTAATAAACAATTGATACGTGAGCAAAACAGCGGAATTAAAACAAATTAAAAAAAACAAATATCAATGTGCAGGTCTCTATACCTTTACTCTCACATATTCTCCTGTATTTGGTTCTCTCTCTTCATTATCAGCCTCCCCTGGAAGGTGTTTCCTTGGGAATATGACTGTGTGATTAGTGTCACTCTTTCCTTTACAGTCCATCTCATTTCTCTTGGTAGCAGACACTAGTAAGACTAGCTGCTCTGTCCCTATGAATCTCTTATTCCTAGACCCAGAGAGCGAGTAGAATGTGCTAATGATTTCTGCCAATCTTTTCTTTTTTATATCTTCAGGGACTGAGTCCTTCAGCCTGTGATATGCATGCGTTTTCTGAGGGAGAGGAAAAGTTAGTATGATCTTTTTAAATGGCCGTAACTCGAAAAATATTTGTCGGAATCAGCTCAAACTTTCTACATAGCATGAGGACATCAATATGTATCAGAAAATTTAATAAAAATGGGGGCTGATTTCGGAGCCATTTTTTGGAAAAAAATTATGGGCTATAGCCTTGGGTATTTTTCAAAATTTTGGCATTTTCTTAAAATGGCCGTAACTTGAAAAATTGAAGTTGGAATCAGCTCAAATTTTCTACATAGCATAAGAACATTAATATGTATCAGAAAATGTAACAAAAATTGAGGGTGATTTTAGAGCCATTTTTTGGAAAAAACTATGGGCTATAGTCTTGGGTATTTTTCAAAATTTTTGGCATTTTCTTAAAATGGCCATAACTTTAAAACTGATGTTGGAATTGACTCAAAATTCTTACATAGCATAAGGATATATCACATGTAATATTTACTATAAAAATACGCACAAAATAATTAATAATATTTATGTTTACTTTTCTCATGCTGTAAGCAAACATGAATGCCATGTCATATTTGACTTGCTCCATCAGTGATAAAGTGTCATTATGATCTTCCTCTCTCTCGTCACAAAATCCAGCAATAATGTCTGTTGAAATAGCTACACCTGAAGCAAGAAGAGATAAAGACAGTTTGAGCTAATCATGATAATTTCTGAGCATCCAAAAACACAAAAATCATGGCGGAATTAATTTTAAATTTCGAATGAATTTGTGATTACAATTGATTAGTCCTTTCTAGTTCTTTGTAGCTACCTGGTATAATACTTCTTATTCTGTCAACAAGAGACAGATAAGCTTCTCTGGTATGACTATAACAAAATGAAGTCATAATGATCCTCCTCTTTCTCTCTTTCTCTCACCCTCTTCTCATTAGCTGTAGAATTCTTGTGCTACCACTTTGAATGGGAAGGTGTATATGCTTGCAGATGTTACCATTTTCTCTAATAACCTCCAACAACTGCATCAAAGAGAAAAATGGAAGAATGAAGGACTAGAAATAAATTTTTAAATCTAATAATAATAATAATAATAATAATATTTTATCTATTCCCATTAGATGCAGCATTCTCCTTTAATATTGCTTGCAATGGAAAGGAAACAGCTCAATTTTGTATCAACTAACTTCATCAGGAAAGTCTTTAGGATGCGGCGATGTGAATCTGATCCTCATATCTGGATCAACCTTAGGAATAAAACAACCAGTAAGTATCAACTCCACTTCTTTTTCTCTCCTCACTTGTGCTACTTCATGAAGCAGTTCAGCGAACCTCCTTCCTCCTTCCTTGCTTTTATAAATTGATGAGAATCCTCTGCTGAGATTAGTTAGGGAAGATGACGAGTGAGATGGTGACAATTCTCTGTAGCTATTAACATTCTGACCTAACAGTGTCACCTGCTTTATACCCTGAGGAAAAGATAGAGGTACACAGTACATTGTACTACTGTATAGTGGGGTATATTGGCAAGGGATTAAAGTTGACAAGTTGGCAAATTTCGGGAAAATGCTACCATGAGATACTGTAAGAGACAGTAAAATCATCAAAATTTAGCTCACCCAACTAATCAATTTAGTCTATGCCACAAAATTCTCACCCCCAACAGCATTATAGTACCTCTCTTTCTCTCTCATTACTTGTTCTGATAGAGACTTCACTTCAGATATGATTGAACTCATTGGACGACTTCTCTCCCTCCCACGAGTGAACGGGACAATACAGAAACTGCACATGTTGTCACACCCACGCATGATTGAACTTAAAAATAAAAATAAATAAAATTTAAAAAGGAATAGAATAAAAATAGTAAATAAATAAATAAAATAATAAATACTCACACAAATGCTGTTGGAGATGACTCATTGAGTCTAACTGGAGAGACATCAGCATAAGTTTCATCAAGAGACAGAGCCACATTAACTATTAATAATTAATAACTACTAGTGTCACACGACAGGGTTTACCTGCTGCTTCTCCACTCTCAGTCACTGCTAGTAGTCTGGGGAGGTCACGATACGCATCTGTGGAAAGAATGGGCGGGGTAATGGGTGTGGTTTGACTCACCTGGTCCGGCGATGAGATCTACTTGTTTGTCAGTGTCAAGTAACTTTTCTTTCAATCTCTCAGCCATGCAACCTTGAAGTTGATAATAATAATAATAATAATAATATATGGTGTACATCTATCCAACTATAAAAAAATTGTACCTAATAGTCCAACTTTCAGTGGAGGAAGGTTAGCTGATCTCTTTTGTTTTAAATGACTAAAGTAGTCAAGTCTATTCCAAACCTTGTTTTCGGCATTTTCTCTTATGGCACAAGTTACAGCTAATATGACATCAGCCTGGAAAATATTTAAATTATAAAAGTAACTTTAAGCACGTTAATTATCAGGATTACATCGGTTATTTCCTTAGCTCTACGATATCCAGCATTACTTAGTATTGACCATGCAATCTCAGTATCATTAGCATTCATCTGACAGCCATACGTCTCAAAATAGACTAGAAATAAAAATAATTATAATTTTAATTTGATTTTTAATTTTAATTTATTTATTATTAATATTTAAGCACGCCAAGGAATATTTGTTTCTTCGTTACCTTTTCTGTTCCTTCCTGCAATGGTTTCCTCATTTAGATAAGGTGGAGGTGAGTGGTCATCCTCCATTAGAGCAGTCCCTGATAACTGAATATCTTTGAACTCTCTTTCTTTTATAAAGTCTTCGAGTCCAGGGCCTGGAGGGAGGGAGCAGGAGCTATAGTACCTCATAAAAGAGAAGAATGACCTCAAACTGCAAGTAAAGGGAGAGCTGGAAGGAGAATAAGGCCTCAAATAAGACTGCTTCAAAGCAACCGCCATCTTTAGGGTTAAATATTCATAGCCACGCCTGCTTCGATGAATCAGTGTGGGAAATTCCCAGGTAAAATCAAGGTGTATCACTCAAGATTTAGTCAGACTACTCAAGATTGTACACAGTGTACAGTTTTTGCAACAGGCTACTTTTCCTTCCTTTTATTATGCTCTTTTAGCTATTGATTGTAAGTCCTTAATTTCTAATTTTCTCGTTAATCTTTATTTTGACTTCTGTTTTGTCTTTTTTGTAGTTATTGCTTGAATCTGGCATATTATGTCACTGCCCCGAAGCATATCTTCTGCTGATCTTAGACGGACAGAGCGCTGTCAGGACTTCATTCGAAAAGACTGGAAGAATGCAGAGGGTCCTGATGCTCCAGTTAACTACTTCAATGCCTCACCTCGTTTCACACTTACCATCCCATCACTGATTGAACATAAAGATGAGAAATTTCGTCGATTTGTTTTTGAACGTGTCATCAACTATACGATAAAAGAAGACTTGGAGCGTTCTAAAACCATCAACTGGTGCCGTGGTGCTAGCGAAGTTGTTCCGCTCTACACCACTGGAGATGGGAACTGCCTCCTACACGCCGCCTCTCTTGGCATGTGGGGCTTCCAAGATCGCAACTTCACTCTTAGAAAATCAATTCACAATGCTTTAGAAAATGGAAAGTACAATGGCTTGTATGACAGGTGGATTGATTGGAGGAGAAGTGAGAATAGGAAGATTGGGTTTAGTCTTGATCCTCATCAGTGGGAAAAGGAATGGGCCGACGAAGTTAAATTTTCTTCAACGGAAAAGGTTAATCACGGGTCCCTCGGATATCTGAATGAGTTTCATGTTTTTGTTTTGTCCAATGTGTTAAGGAGACCTGTTTTCCTCTATTCCCCACCGAAGCTATTTTCTCAAGATGAAGGAGTCACACTACAAATGGTTGAGTTTTATGGTCTCTATCTCCCTCTACTCTGGAATCCTAGACACTGCATTAAAGATCCTCTGCCTATAGTCTATAACAATGGCCACTTCTCTGCCCTCACAATCATTGATGATCGTAAAGAGTATACTGACGGATGCCTCCTGTTTCCTCTCTGTGATTTTTATTTTCGAGATCTTCCGATTCGTTTCATAAATGAAAGAGAAAATGCTACATTACTCAAAGAAGAATACCTCAGGATAAAGGTTTTGCATAGTACTAGACGAGACATTCATTGTGCCAAGTTGATCCTTGATGATCAGCCGAAGTACATGAAGCCGTTGTTAGAGGGTTTTATCATGTGTTGTTTGGAGGCCTATCAAAAGAATGCACCTAATGATGAGAGACTGGGATCCAGTAGTGGTGGAACATGTCGCAATAAATGTGGCTTTAATGGCTCCTCTCAATATAATGGATACTGTTCACAATGTTTTAAACGAGAGTCAGCCTCAAACCCATATCAGGGAGCCTCAAGCCCATACCAGAAACCCCCAGACCCATACCAGAGAGAAAGAGGTCAGGAGCCCATGAATCCTAGAGATGAAATGGAAGTGTCATCCGTGACTTGCAACAATAACTGCAATAGATTGGGGTTTGCCATGTACCTTGGGATGTGCAAAGATTGCTATGAAAGAAAGAGAGGGAAAGATAAAGAAAGTGATCGTCCTGTCTCCCAACCACCGCCTCAGTCACAGGCCAAACCTCCCATCTCTCAAATTACGTCGTCTCTTTTAGAAAAGTCCTCAGAGACTCGGGCGTGTCGTACAAAAGGATGTGACTTTTTTGGAAAGGCAGCAACAAAATTCTACTGCTCCCAATGTTTTGAAAAGAATCTCCCAAAGATTTTGAGCTCTTCAGATCTCTCACTTTCCCCTGATCCACACAATCCCAATAATCCAAGACCCGGTAGTGCATCAAATTTTGAGCCCCCCAGGGACCCAAAGGAAGAGGGAGAAGGACCAAAGTGTTCAAACTGTCGTAAATTTTTCGCAAATCCTGAATATGGTGACCTTTGCAGTGCCTGCTTCAAAGACAAGACCAAAAAAGAGGCTAACAACAAGACGGCTCCATTGCAGCAGAGTGACCCACCATACCAACAAAACGTTCACCGTACAACTGCACCACAGGAGAGGAGAGAGAACTGGAGAGGAAGGGATGAAGATGAGGCCAGACTTTATCCAAGGGAAGATCAAAGAAGATATAGATATGAGGGAGAAAGAGAGAGAGACCATGACAGACACAGGAGAGATGACTTTCCTCCTGATCAAAGAGAAAGAGAAAGGTACTACAATAGGGAGGAACGAGATCGAAGGGCTGGGAATGAATATTATAATGATTATCCTCCTCGAGAAGGCTATGAAAGGGAGAGGAATAGCGGGGAGAGGATGAGAGTGCAGAGCAGGGAAAGAAATGAGGGCAATAGTGGAGAAAGGAGTCCTGCAATTTACAGCAAGGAGAGACAGTATAGTGGTGAAGGAAGGAGACCTCTCAGTGGAGAGAGAAACAGGCCATACCGTGAGTACAATCAATCAGGAGGAAGGAGAGATGAAGGTCACTTGAATGAACTTAATGGAGGAAGGAGAGATCAATACTATCATCATGAAAAGGAGAGGGAGAAAACAAGAATGAGCGAAGGCTTGGTTTGTATTCTGTGTGATCTTAGTGCTCCGATATCAAAAATGAATGGAATTTGTGAGGAACATGCCAGAAAGTGTCGTAGAGAGCAAGACGAAGTGGAACAACACAAAGATTTAAGATTTCCAGAAAAGCGTCTCTGCAAGTCACCAGGCTGTGGTTATTTCCCAGATCCTTCTTGTGATAACTACTGTCAACGCTGCCATGAGGAAAATCAGAGGAAATATTACAATAAAAGAACCAAGTGCAGTCTTGATGGTTGCTCTAATGACAAGACTCATGATAATGGTCTCTGTGATAGATGCTACAAAGAAAGATATCCTGATTACAAAGAAAAATATTCTACTGATTCACCTCAGTATGGTGCTACAGGACATCCTCTTGCTCCTTCCTCTCAGTTTGAAGGAACTGAAAGAAATGATGGCCACTCTCATTGTATTCGCAGATCCTCAGAGCCACAGTTGGCTCAGTACAATCGCTCTCCTAGCAGCAACTTTGAGCCAAAGTTGAGCCGCCTCCGTAGCTTATCACAGGAGGATGAGAGAGAAACTGAGAGGGAGAGTGAAAGGAGAAGAGCTGAGTATTCTAGAAGCAGATTTGAAGAGGAGGAGTACAGGAGGAGAGAGCACGATGCAGAAAGAAGAGCTAATAACTATTACGATAGAGATCGTGATAGGCAAAATAAACAATTGGACTTAATTTAAAAGCTTTTATAACATTGTTTGTGTGAGACTTGTTTGTGATCTAATAAGATGTTGCTCTATTTTTCATTATTTAATAATGTATTTCAGTTTCAGCTGTATAATGGCAAGAGAATATCCTTTCCATAATGTGAACTACACTTGTATCCGATCACAATATCTAAGTCTATAAGTATCATGAAGGTTCATATAGAGTTAGTATGTTTAATATAAAAACAACACTCGGAAATGATATATAAGAAAAAGAATGATAATGATAATAATAAAATTAATAAAAAGAGAGAGAGAGAGAATGCATGAGTGAGGAGGTATAAAAGAGAAGAATGAATTGAATTGACACAAAATGAATTGCTATATAAAACAATCCCTCGATCAAATTAGATTACACATACATGCAGGCAACCAGTTAAACCAGTGCTAGGTCACTTTATTACGACTGGAAAGATGAGAAGTTATCAAAAGCAGCCAAAAGCTCCGAAGAAAAATCCGTCACACCTAGTCCAAGACTGACGTGGCTTGTATCAGAGTCTCTTAAATTAGAATTCCTTAGGGCCTCCGTCCTAGGATCTCTTAGTTGTATTCCGGTACTCTCTGTGGGTGGGGCAGGGGGAGGGGCTTGATTGCTAATGCTACTAGAAGACTCTGTTTTACGAGTCACGTGACCGGAATCATACGACTTTGACGAAGCAGAGCTCTCCTCGTCACTCCGAATACCAGAGTCAGTCGATTTAATGGGAGTGGTCATCATTTGTGGGCGGAGCTCCGATTGGTCTCCGCCTCCAGAGTAAGACTTCATTTCAATCCCTCCGTTGATGCTGGGGGTGTGGCCAAGCAAGTGAGGCAGGGGAGTGGAGAATGTTGTGCTAATGCTGTCGATACCAGTCGAGTAGAAGCTTGATCTGTCAGTAGATACAGCAGCTGGCATTAGTATACTGCTCCGACTGCTAGCAGACTCTGCTGTCGTCGAGGCTGCAATGTCAGGACTAGCAGGAGGTAGTATTGTAGGTGTGGCTAGGGTGGGGCTCAGCGAGGAGGGTTGCAGTGTTGCTAGACTCTCGGCTTTTTCTGTCTGTGAGGAAGCAGGGGCGATACCAACCGAGACACGGGACTTGAGAGTAGATGGGAACGACCCGTCACCTTCTTCGTCAGACCCTTCTCCTGATCCAATGGAATCGTCTAAAATACTAAAGGACAAGCTCAGTTTTTCTGCTTTGCTACCTCGCCCTATGCTGTTGGTCCCACTCAAGTGTAAGTCACTGCCTCCTCCTCCTCTTCTTCCTCCACTTCCTCTCTTTAAAGACCATTCTCCTGATCCTCCTCCGCTTATCCCGACTGCGTTACCATTGCTGTGACGTGGGGTCGAGTGATCGAAACTGTTTTCCGTTGCAGACGGTTCTATTGTGACTTGTATGTTCTCTTTGCCGAAGGTCGTGGCAGAGTAGGGCGTGGTCAGTTCTTGGAGGGACGGGTTCATGTGACGTCTGAGGGCCAGCGAGGGCGAGTATGACTTGTTAAGAGAACAAAGAGTTTCGTTAATGAAAGAGAAACGTGGTCTCTCCTCTCCTCTTTTGTGCCAGCAAGACGACAACAGCGAGTTACTAAAAATACATAGCAAGACAGTATAATTTATAATAACATTAATACTTAATAATAGTACTGTAATAGTGGGTGTATTATTACTGAAAAAGAAATTATAGTCAAGCTTGATTGATGAATGATAAAAATATATTTTATCATCATCATCATTACTATTATTATTATTATTATTAAACTTACATTCTGTCAGGGCAGTCGTCAGAAGGTGATCCTAGTCTACCGTCCATCATAAGATGAGATGTGATACTCTTATTAGGTATATCAAGGTACGGCTCTTTAGCAACAGAGAATATCTCCCACACTACAATACCAAAAGACCACTAGAGGAAAAAAGGGACAGAACATGAGCTGAAGTCACTATACTACTACAGGTTAATTTGAATGAAATAATTGTACTCGATATTTGAAGAAACTTTAAAAATTAATATTTTGATTGGAATCAGCTCAAAATTTTACACAACATAAATATATGTACATGTATATGCATCAGAAAATTTAATAAAAATAGAGAATTTTCTCCTAGTCATTTTTGACAAAGTTTGGCCGAGGATCCTGTACTATAGTACAGGGATTTTGGCCTGATTTCGGAGCAACTTTAAAAATTCGTAAAAAATTCAAATTTGATCGGAATCCACTCAAACTTTCTACACAACATAAAAACATGTATATGTATCAGAAAAAATTATAAAAATAAATAATTCTCTCCTAGTCATTTTTGACAAAATTTGGCTGGGGACCCTGTACTATAGTACAGGGATTTTTGCCCAATTTCGGAGCAACTTTAAAAATTCATAAAAAATTTAAATTTGATCGGAATCCGCTCAAACTTTCTACACAACATAAAAACATGTATGTGTATCAGAAAAAATTATTAAAATGAAAAATTCTCTCCTAGTCATTTTTGATGAAATTTGGCTGGGACCCTGTACTATATAGTACAGCAACTTTAAAAATTTGCAAAAAATGTCATTTTATAAATAACGATCCATCAACATTATATCAACGTACCACATTGCTCTGTATAGTAATGAGTCCTTCCTGAAGTGTCTCAATGGCTGACCATTTGACTGGTCTTACCGCTCCCTTTATGCTAGTGTAGCACTCCGGATAAAAGTCTTGAAAGAGAGCACCGTCCGAGAGTTTGAGCACAAAATTAGCGTCAAGCCAGCAATTACGTAGGGCAAGGTCCTGAAGAATGACCTTCTTATCGGCAAGAAAGGTCATCGCTGAAGAGAGCTGGTAAGAGAAGTTGATTTTTAAATCAATTGTGAATGGCTAAAGGGAGAAATAGATTTTTTAAACCATCAAAATTAAAATTCCTCTTAAACTTAAAGTGCATGCATAAATTCTTTTGTTAATATACATGCACTCTAGTATACTCCAGTGCACTCTAGTATACTCTAGTGCACTCTAGTATACTCTAGTGCACTCTAGTATACTCTAGTATACTCTAGTGCGTTTTAGTATACTTCACTAACCGAGAGAGGATTTTCATGAGGTAACAGCCTACACATCTCCAGGGTAAAGTGAAGGTTACCATACTCTGTCAGTGGGTATATCGCTATCGGTACACAGTTGTCCTCAATACTGAGGCCGAGTAGTGGGAGTATATTGACGTGCTCTAGTCCTTGCATTGACGTAGTGAGATCGATGAAATGAGTAATGTCTTCTCTGTGACCTCTGTCCCCTAGACCTGAAATAATAATAATAATAATAATAATAATAATAATAATAATAATAATAGTAAGTATGTAACATATCATACACCTATCATAGTATCACAGTAGTATCATAGTATCATTGTATTACATGATTCTATTCTCACTTGTCATAATTTTCATGACGGTTCCAACGTTATCTTCACTGGATGGGTTGATACGATCCATCATCAGTATACCTCTGTTCAGGCATCCGTGAGTACCTAGAATAGTATCATCATCATCATCATCATATTAATGTTAATGTTAATAATAATAATAATAATAATAATAATTTTATTATTATTATTATTATTATTATTGGTTTAACCTCTTAGAAAGGTGCTGGTGATAGCAATCTTCTTCCTGTCAATGTTAATAGTGCGGACAAGAGTTTGAATGTGGAGAGGGAGTGATGTCAGTGAGCCCCAATGCAGACCTAAAGAATGAATGAATAACAATTAAAGTAGTAATAGATACCAGTAGGTGGAGGTATTGTATTGACTCACTGGTCCAAACTGATATTGGTGCCTCAAGCTTCTTGTACTTGTCTGCATTGACATCGTCTTCGAAATTGTCACCGTAATAACTGAATGGCTCAACATATTGATCATCAGCAAATGATTGGCTAGAAGAAAAAGAGAGAGAGTTAGAATTGATAACTATATACTGAACTAATTATGCAGAAATCAAATAGAGTTTTTTGTATGAAAGTGGAAAGAAATGGAATGCAATGCTACCTTCCTTTCTTCTTGGCACAGCGTATACAGCAGAGACACAGACAAATGATGAGAATACAGAGAGCAAGGAAACCAGCAATGGGACCAAAAGCAGCCACATAGAGGACCCAGGGCAATGAGCCAGCCTCTGCAGAGAAACAGACAATCATGACAGAAAGAGAAAGAGAGAGAATTTTACGAGTAATGAAATCTTAATATAAATGGATAGTGATATATAATGAGGAATAAATGGACTACAGTGCTACTAATGCATTGCATTGTTTGACTATAATAAGTGACAGCTGGTGAAAGGTTCTACTACATGTAATGTACATTAGTCATTGAATTACATGTACATGTACATGTATGTACATGTCAGTAGTAAACTAGTAATGTAATCCACATTAAAACCTCATAGTAGCATAATGTATTCTTAATAATCAATTACCATCTGTGGGACTAACAGACACACTGGGAGTAGAATAAAATGAAGATACATCTGATATCGAGAGTGTGGTCATTATAGGCGTGGTTATAACAGAGGGTGTGGTCACAACAGAGGGCGTGGTCATAGCAGAGGGCGTGTTTTTTGATGATGTGATTCCATTAAATGATGATGACGAAATAGACGAAACTTGTAATGACGTCGAATATGAGGGAGTGGTCACTGTCGACTCAATATCTTTAGAAGATGTAGCAAAATAAGAAGTTGTTGATAATGACAATGAAGGTGTTGGTTGCAAAGTTGGTGTGGTTATGGGTGTGGTCTCAGCTAAGTATCCACTTGACGATGAGAGAGAGCTTGTCACTGAACTAAATGAAGAAAATGAGGAAAAGAGAGAAAGGGACAGAGTTGAACTAGCTCCTCTAGTAGACAAGGAACGAATCAGATCAAGAGAAGAAGAGGAAGTAGAGGGTGAGGGGGGAAATGTTTCAAATGAAAAGAGGGTTGAGGTAGGATTGAGTTCAGATGATTTTATAGAGGAAATAGTTGGTAGAGGAATGATCTCACTCGCTGATGAACTGTCTGATACAAACATGCCTAAGAGTGGAAGAGTTGAGAAAAAGCAAACAGAACGTATATTATACGATGCAGCTAATATATCATACATTACACAAATATTTTTGCAAATATTGTCAAAGAATATTTGCTTTCTTTATCTACAAGTATTTTAGCATATGTTCCCCATCTTCTCTGATGTGAACATAAGCTTATCTTTGATAGACAACACGCGCACACACACACACACACACAAACACACACACAATATGTCATCAATAAAGTTAGCGTGTGAATGCTAGTGATCAATTGACCACCAGACAAGAGCTTACATGTGTTATCATACAGTTAATTTATTAAAAATAATAAATAATAATTATTGCTTTATCCCATAATGCACACACACACACACACACACACAAACACACAAAAATTATAATATTATAAGTAAATGGTCTGATGTGAATGTACACATTAACTTCATACTTTGATTATTGCAGTCTTTTTGGATGATAAATTCTATCATCAAAGTGCAGGTCTCATCAACAGTGAGGTTTAGTTGAACGGTGACTGCTGTTAGTACGGGACTGGCTCTGTTGCAATGGAGCAATAAATCAAATTCTAATAAGAAGAGGAGAAGGTAATTAGGAAAGAAGAGGGAGAGGTGGAACTATATAGACAGGTATTCTCTAATTAGCCTTATGATTTAATTAGAGCACATCACTCCACTTTATGTACACTATTGTATGGTATTATTATGCTGATGCATAAAATATGCCCGTAGCTACCACTCGTGGCAATGGAATGACATTAAATACTCAGAATTAAGTGTCATTAGGCATTTTAATAGGAAGCTATAATTACTCAACCATAGCTTACTCTTTGTCTCTCTGTCTCTATCTCTCTATCTATTCCTCTCTCTCCTCTCTCTCTCTCTCTCTCTTCCTATATCTCTCATTGACAATTATACTAACAAATGAATGTGCTTGATTACTATACCTGTATCAGTAGTAACTATTGGAGGGATTGAGAGAGAAGGAGAAACAGCATTATTTGTTTGTGAAATGAAGTACTGGAACTGAACCTAGAGAGACAGAGAGAAAGGGAGGGAGAGAGACAGAGAGAGAGAGGGAGGGAGAGAGACAGAGAGAGAGGAAGGGAGGGGAGAGAGGGAGGGAGGGAGACAGAGGGAGGGGGAGAGAGTGGGATAATAAAAATGAATAAAGAAGCATAAATGGAAAAGGGTGCAAAGGAGAAGGGAAGGAAAAGAGATATAACATATAAACACATCTCCATTAGTTGACATGTCATATTTAACTTGATTATAGTAAAACTACAAATAAGCCCAATTAGCCACATACACTCACTACTAATGATACTGTACTAGGCACTGCACTGTGTGTGTGTGTACTCAATCATGAGACATTATTAGTACAGAAAGTTGCAGAGGAGGGAAAGTTGGTAGCTGTAAACAGCTGATAATAAGAGATCAACAGAAGAACATGGCTAATATGGTAAATGTCTATTGATAATTAATAATAACTTCAAAAGAGAAGAGATCAGAGAGAGAAAGAGAGATAGAAGGACTATACTGTATAACAAACATTATGTCACTAGCGTTAAAATGTGATTGAGCTCATGTTTATAGTGGTGACTTATGTGATGGTGTACTTAAGGGACTTACTTTATTATCAGCATTGAGTGTTAGCTCAAGTGTAATATCATGAATTGAAGGAGGGAGAGGATCCAATGATTGACCAGTATCACTAACTTGAAGGTAGCCATTACTGAGTACGCGACTCGTACCATTCCTTATTATAAATATTGACGAACCTGTCAATGGGAATATCATTACATCATTATCATAATGGATAGAACTATAAAAATTAACAAGTGAGGATATTATAGGGAAAGAATAACGAAAGTGATAATTATATTATCATCAACACAGGGTTCAATCCTCTGACAAACAGGTTCACTCTATTCATGTGTGTGTGGTTTAATATTAGTAAAGAAGGTGAAATTCGATACATACGTATATAATAACACGCTACCATTACTTGTATGGGTACAAGCAAATTTATACAGACGCCATATATGCACGTATAAATATACACTTGATACATTGCATACATTTACATTATTAACGCAGTCACCCACCCAATGAATACATACATGTACATGTACATACAAAACTAGCGAAGCATAATAATAATCCTCACACCTACACATGCACTGCATATTATAATGTGTACTGTGACTACTGTCATGAATGAGAGTTAATGAGAGAAAAGTGAGAGGAGAGAGAGAGAGGGGGAGAAAGAGAGAGAGAGAGAGGGAGTGAAAAATTAAATGAATGAGTGAACATTACAAGAGAGTAAAACAAAGAAGCAAACATACTGAATGCCAAGAGGAGTGAGTATCTAGCAGCCATTATATAGACTTAAAGATTGTTAGTATCATTATGTTGTACATTGTATCAACTATTCTACAATCAATACCTCATTAAGCTGAACTCTTATCAAAATAGTACATAATAGCAGTAGAGATATAGGGCCATAAACTCTTAGTATCTCTCACACAGTGTCATATGATGTGAGTTATCAGTTTATGCTATGAGCCCTCAATTGTGACGGTTTTTTCTCTAATAACACGGAGGCCCTATTTTTTATGAACACAAAGGCAACACCAGCATATTAGGTCAAAAACATAATAGAAATAGTCTACTGCTATAAAAAATTAATCAATCCTTTCCACTATTGACACAGTCAGTTGAGATCACAACAAACAATATTATTTTAACAAGAAATAATTTTGATCAAAATGATGAGGCTAGTTGACATTTAAATTCCAATATGCTTACTTTCTGTCAGGGAATCTGTCACATTAGACAGTTCCTCGATGCTTCCTTCGCTCACAAGCAAGTCGAGAGTGGCATCACAATCTCCTAGGGCTAGTCCTGCAAGAGCTAGTTGCAGCAAGACTAGGAAAGAGAGCAGAAGTGTGGTAGTACTGTACAGGGAGGCGGGAAGAGAAGGAGTAGGCATTGTTGTGTAGTTTTATTACAGGAGGACAGAGTGGTAACTAAGAGGGCATAGGCATAGCTGTAGTGGAAACTTCTCTCGCTCCCTATCTATTATGCAAATTCCAAAGTGCAGACAAACGGTCGCTCGCGCATAATTGAGTAGGCGTGTCAATCAAATTATTCATGATCAAATCCAATTAATAATTTAGGCAAAATGGCTGCTAAGAGTGATGAGAAAGGTGAAGATGCTGCATTTAGTGCCTTCCTAAGCGAGGTCAAGCATAATTATAATTCAAGAAATTCTTTTTAAAATTTATTGTAAATAGGTCAAGCAAATAGAAAAGAGAGACTCTGTCTTAACTGGTACACAGCAGATAGATAGGTTGCTCAGAAAAGGGGCCAAGTATGCCAATCTCAATCCTTATGAGGTAAAATTACATCCTATGGGCAGGAATTTTTAACGTTTGAATTGCATTCATTTAGTCTATGTAAATTTAATTTTTGTACCATTATTATTATTTATTTATTTATTATCCTGGCATACTTGTTAGGTATTGCTGATTGATCCAGAAATTAGTCCTGAGGATTTAAGAAAAGCATATCGTAAAGTAACAAGAATAGATATCATATCCCATGCACATCCATATTGCATGACTTTACTTACTAGTTGTCATTTCTGGTACATCCTGACAAGAACCATGATGACAAAGAGAGAGCTCAAATTGCTTTTGAAGGTAAGAGGAGGAAAATGCAACGTAGACCTCTCCCCTTTTTTTCTCCAGCTGTAAACAAAGCATACAAGACATTAGAAGATCCCGAACAGCTTGAGTACTGTAAAAGCATTTGGGAAGAAGCTGTTGCAACTACCGATCAAAAGGTAATTCCAAAAAAATTTCAAAATGATGTTAATGATGAGGGTGAGTAGTTGAGGGAAAAGAGAGCAGAAAATAAGAAGAGAGGAATCAAATTTATTGATGAGGACAAAAATCCTGAGCTGGTATGAATGATAATAATGGAGAGAGTGCTTATGCCATTTTTTATTCCTCTTCACAGAAGAAAGAAATGATTCGAAAAACAATGACAAAGCTATTTGTCGACTATGATATTAGAAAGAAACAACTAGAGGAGCGAGAAACAACTGAGAAGTAAGCTCGTTAAAAAACATTGCCATCTTTTCTCTTTCATAGAAAGAGATTTAAAGAGATGGAGGATGAAGAGAAAGACAAGATAAAGCGAGTGAAGGAGTATGAACAGGAATGGGCTGTATGCTTTGGCGAGTTAAAAGTGAAATGTTTTTGAATCTTTTCTTTTCAGGCTTCAAGAGTTGAGAGGGTGACAAGTTGGAGAGACTTTCAAAACAAAGGACCCAAGAAAGCAAAGAAAACCCACTCGTACAAACCCCCGAAATTTAAACAAGAAACACGATCATGAACATCCCCTCCTTCCATCACTGTCATATCGCCTATCTCTTTCTCTCTCTTTTAAAATTCTTGTTGTTATTAATTTATTATCATTCATTGTGGTAAAGACTAATCCATAAAACAATATCAAATATGAAAACATGTTCTTCTCTTTCGTTTCATTTGGATCAGACGTAGCCCATTGCGTTTAACTTTTTATTGATTTCGGCAATTTTAGGCTGAGCATCTTTGGTAGCCCTTGTCCTCAAACGCTGAGAGAGAGAGAGAGAAAAAGAAAAGAATTTAAACCAAGAGCGACTAATTTAATACATGGAGTTCAATCCATTCTATATTTAGTAACATTATTACATCATTGCTATGTTTAGCACTCACAGCTAATTTAATCTTTTTCTCATAATAAATTGCTTCCCTGGCTTGTCTCTTTTCCTCAAGCGTCTTCATAACATCCTAAAACACAATAATTATTATAATAATAAAAGCAATTAAAAGTATAACAACACAACATCATGTACAGAGGAGAATGTCAGCGTATAGGTGACACTTCATGGAACTAACAATCAATCCAGGAGTGTGGATATCAATATTAACTGATTGATATAACGAGTACTTAGCACACAAACAACACGAAGAAAGTAGCTGATCGTGTGACTCTGTCTCGTACTGACCCTTCCAAATTAATACGTACATGTACATGTTTATAAGTCATAATAATAAACACTGAATCACTCAGTAGGGGCCAGCTGTCTAATTAAGTTTAGTTATACCACAAAAACAAACAATTCAAAAGTTACAGCATCACACCCGCATACTGCCCCATATAATAAAAAGGATCAATATTTTCATAATATACTAGAGAATAAAGACAGGGAGGAGGAAAACACCATCCAAATAATAAGAATACAACGAAACACGAGTGAAATCTCTGCAATGTTTGAAAACAAATTATAATGAGTAGAGGAGGCTAATTTGTAATTGCGACAAATCAAAGACATGAACCACACCTGTAACTTGCACAAACATATGGCACTCGGTCAATAACAAGATAAAGAAGATATGTGAACAATGAAGAGAGTTTCCCACAGGATTTTACTTTTTGCCAGTGGATTGTGAAGTTGCTTAAAAATTAGGCCAAAGGCCTTGTATAAGGTATTTCAACAAAGTCACAAGGAAAGAATTCTCTCAATTTTTATAATTTTTCTGATACAAATACATGTCCTTATGCTGTGTATCAACTTTGAATTGAATCTGATCAAATTTAATTTTTTTATGAATTTTTAAAGTTGTTCAAAAATCTGGCTAATAACCAAAGGCTATAGCCTTTGGTCTCAGGCCAAATTCCATCACAAATGACTAGGAGAAAATTCTCCATTTTTATAATTTTTTTCTGATACATATACATGTTCTTATAATGTGTATCAAGTTTGAGCTGATTCCGACCACATTTGGATTTTTTATCAATTTTTAAAGTTGCTCAAAAAGCATGTACTGTATTGCAGTGCTTGTCAGCTCATGAAGCTCATCCTGTTTATCTCACTTAGCATGCTTTGTGGGAAACGCTGTGTGTGTGGACTGTGGAGCTACGACATAAAACATCAGTCATGTGACTTACCCTGTACTTCCATCCAACTTCATGCGATAACCTTCCAAGTACACAAAACTGAGAATGAGAATTTTAAAAAATTCTATTTGTGTAGCGTCTTACCTTTCTTCCTGGCTTTAGTCTTAGTATTCTCAATGCTTGCGGCACAACCACACGCTTCTTCTTGATATACATTGGGGGAATACCCTCGTACACCTAATAAAATAATTCATTAATTTTAATTACTGACATACAAAACCCACTTTACGTGGCAAAGTACATGACAAGGTTCATAAACCGAAAATAATTAAATCATTAGTTCTTACACTTAATCTTCCAAGGGCGGCTTTTCCTCTCTCAGTTTTATGTGGTAGCATGCCACGTACTGTACGCCAGAATATCTTGCTTGGAGCACGGAAGTGGAACGGACCACGAGACGGTTTTACGTTGCAGCGCAAACGAAGGAATTTCAGATATTTCACTAAAAATAAATAAATAATATTTTTAATAATTAATTGTGCCGGTACCGCCAACCTTTATTTCTGTAAATGCTTCCACTTATGTTGATGTACTCACACCGTAAAATTACAATCTTTTGGCCTAAAATCAAATAAAAAAATTAAAAATCTCAGTTTCTCTCTCACCATTTAACAACTGTTTGGCAACAATGGAGGCCAATCTTCCTAAAAGATGGTCTTTGGCATCAACTATGATGACCTACAGATAAAAGGGAATCATTAATCATACATAAAGCTCTGCATTACCTTCTGAAACCCCATTTCCCTTATATCCTATGTCTCCCTTTTTCCCTCAATGAAAAGAGAATAATCAGAACATGTGCTTGGGCTCTTGGTGCGCATGCGCACTTTAAATAAAAATGGCGTCACCGACCAAGGTCAGGAAGAGACAGTGGGGTAAATGCAGAGAGAGCGAAAAGGTATTAATATTGGAAAATATGGACTTGGAGATACCAGATCCAATAGATAAAGGTATTGGAGACAAAAAGAAGGACGAGGGAGGCAATAAAAGCAGTGAAAAAGGCCTTGATCTACAGCATCCTGAAATGCTCTCTAATCAATCACTAACAGAGATTTTGACAAAGTATCAGATACCAATACCAGTTTATTCTGATGGACTTCCAAGCCGTGAGAGGCTCCTATATCTGTTTCGCATTCATGTTCAACCACGCCCACAAAGGTCACGGCAGATGAGGCGAAAGAAGAGGTTAAGAACTCCACCCAAAGAGACCAGTGATCTTACAAGTATGGAATGGTTGGATGGGGGAGGGGACGAGACTGATATAACTAACAAATGGGAGGATATAAAATCCAATAGGAAAAGGTATATGAACATATGTACATACATGCATGGCATAAGTTGGATAATACCAATCCACTCTTGTATAGTCTCACCCCGCCCCTTCACTACCTGCAGATATTGATGTTAGAGGCTATTGGGTGGGTCTTATCCTAACTTGTGTACATAGTATCTTTTTGCATTACATTAATTTCTATACATATGCCATCATGTTAACCATGTTAGAAAATTATGTAAGAGAGATTATAGTCACTCTTACACATAATCTTGATCCATTGTACTGCATCATTTGTGCATACAATATTGCAACATGATGCATACCGTACACTTATCATTGTGGGTCTGTGTTTGCCTATAAAAGTATGAATTATTTAAAAAGTCAAAGCAAAAATACAAAGCAGAATACTCATGATACACACAAAAATGATACAGAAGAAAATAATTATTATTATACCGAGACAGCAGACAAAGTGTGATTATTATTATTATTATTATTATTATTATTATTATTATACAAAACAAAAAGACTAAGACAATAATAAAACAAGTAATAGTAACACCGACAAAAACAAACAAAAAATTAACAATAACACTAACAAAACAAAAAGGAGGAGGAATGACAAGAAAGAAAGAAATTATTATTATTGAATTTTATAGGACTAGTGGAAACAGATAGGGGTAAAGGCCCAGTAAAAGGGAGTAGTCCCTAAGGAGTGACAGGGTCTAGCCCTGCCACCCAGTACATGTAGACAGAAAAGGAGTCAAGAGGAGGAGGGAGAAGAGGATAGGAGAGATATACTGTATAGCAGGTTTATTTCGAGGATAATGAATTTCGCAGATTTTTGAAGATTTGCGAAATTAAATTCCTTGAAAATCAATTTAATACGGTACAAGATGGTAGAAAAGTGGCAATTCGTGAAAATTAATTCCGTGAACCTCCAGATACAGGCCATTTGTGAAAATTATTATCCTCGAAATAAAACTGCTATACGGTACATAAACAATTAGAGCATGGACAGACTGTGTGTAGTGTATGTGAATCAGAAGGATTAAAAACGTCAGACATCGCACATGTATACATGATACTCATGTATATACACGAGAAAGTGCTGAAAAAGTAGATAGATGTAGATACATGATTAGCCATAGCAGTACACGAAATATTGCTCTTGTATTTACTATTAATAGTTATTAATGTTATTGAACAATTCAATTAGTCAATCAACCTTAATAACTATAGTATTAAATTTGCTACTAACTATGCTTCAGTCACTATTAGTGACTATTCACCCTTTTATGCTTACCTCATTGAATGCTTACTCTTTTTAAAAATAAAAGTTAATATATTTAGTACAGTTATTTATCAGTTAATGTTGTGATAAGTTCATAGCAAAATACAAGTAAATACATGAAAGTAAATGGTGTCAGTAAAGTACATACAATATAGAAAAGTTAAAATACAAGTAAATACGTGGTAGATGAAAGGTGGATACATGATGCAATGTCTGAAAAACATTAGTAACTTTGTCAATAAAATGGAGTGTAATTATTTTCTTAAAACTTGGGATAGACATAGAGAGATCAATGGGAGGCAGAGTTCCATAAACGGGGAAACACAGTGAAAGAATATGTGACGAGCCACGGAGCAAACCAGGGAGGAATGAACTAGCTTATTGTGAGCAAGTTGATAATGAGAAATAGTTGCAGATTCAATATAATATATTATTGATATTGCTATGATTCTTGTATTGGTTCATCAGGACACCAGTATCCTACTTCATATTCTTCTTCATTATCTGATAGTGTGGTTACATCATTCCTGTATGCTGTTTCTTCCACTGGTACTGGCATCATTACTGCTGCCTCCTGCACTACTGGAGGAGCTGCTCTTGCTTTTACTATGATTATAATCAATGCAAATAGAAATAAAAGAAATACTCCAATCATTGTTCATTAATCCAATCACTCACAGCTTGATAAAAACGAGTCGCGAATAAATTATTAATAACTTATCATGACCTCAAATTTTAATGAAGCGAAGGGGCGGGGAATTAATGATGAATAATTAATAATCAATTTAATTAATGCTGAGCTGAACCATAGACTATTGATACAGTATACAACTTACTATCTCATGTCAACATTGTTAAGTTATCAATCACATTGTTGGCTTTCCCTGTTTTCTTTTCTAATAGAACACCTAATGCTGAAGTAGTAGATTTGCCAGCTACAAAGAAGCAGCTCATTGAACCAGCATCATCTCCAGATGTCACTACAATAGCAAGAGCTGCAAGTTCACTTACAGCAGAGCCGCCACAAACAAAAGTCAAAAGATTGTTAAAAAGGCCAGGATCATCATTAAACACTTCCCTACAGAACAAGGCCTCAAAAACAACAATATAAACAATATTATACAATTAATTTTAATTTATTTTATATGTGCAAAAATTAATTACTGGTGTTGTTGATCAATTGGTGAAGGATGTAATGACTCATCTTCATCAGTATTTACAACTAAAAGTTCCTTTATCTCTTCACTAGCTTCCGTTACTACACTAGCATAATCGATTTCCACAAGATCTAAATTTTGCAGAACATCATCGTTGTGAATTTCTCTTTCATCTTGAGTGCTTTCTTCCTTTTCTTTATGTTTAGTATCCTCCTCTTCTTTTAATTCCTCCTCTGTTTCTTCTTCAATTGTCCCAATCTGTACTTCTTCCCTCTTCTCTGTAGCTTCTTTTTCATCGCTTATTATAGGTACATCATCAATAGTATCACCTGCAGCACCTTCATCAGGGGGCCGAGTAAAAGAAAATGGAGCGTTAGTCCTTACAGTCTCTCCTCTACTACCAGCACTGCCTCTAGGATCTTGCATTGAATTATCAAGCTGGCGACTACTGTGGGCTGGTTGAAGGAAGTTTTTAAATCTTTCAGAAGAAGCTCCTCGAACCAATTCTGTTCTACTGGGATAGTCAACAACTGGGGTTGTAACGCCAGTCACCATTGCCCTCAAGGGCTCTAGGTCAAGATTACCATGATAGACCTTTCCTTTTACAATCTTCTGATCAGTATTTGGATTGTGAAGTATAGGAAATACATACGTATTTGCAATAGTCAGCGATAATGAAGGTATGTACAGTAGAAAGCCTTGAAGAACAATAAATCTTAAAAATAATTCTGTATACGTTGATTTAGTTATCACTGATTGCATCGTTGCTAATGTTAAAAGTCTTTCAAATTTATTGAAGAAATACCATGGTAGTATATGAAGCATGCTTTCTCTTATCTGTGGAGACATAAGACGTAACCAGTAACGAGTTACAGGAACTGATAATGATATTATTAAACCTAATTAGGAAAAATAATAATATATTGTGGTAATTGCTGTTTCAGCTTCAAATTTAAGCTTAAGGCACCATGAAAATTTTCTCAGTCAATTTTTTGGAAAAAGCTAGACTATAAAAATTGGTAATTGATGCCAATAACTTAATTATTGGAAAGGGCTGAAACTTTTTATAAACAGCTCATTATTCATAAAAAGTAGCAGACTATTAAAAATTTAGTTATCTAAAAGAAGCCGTAAAATAAGTACAAAAGCCTCATTGTATATATAACAACCACCAAGGGACTATTTAATTATGGCACATATGTGCATATAGAACAATGCTAATCACATTATTCTGTTAATTACAATGAACATGGTGTGACTAGTACATTACTCACATGATAATACATTTTGAGCAATTCTTGAGTACATCAACAACTTATAAAACCAATACGAGGGCAACATATATTTATGAAACTTTCCGTTCCACCTACTAATATCACTATATGAATAATATATTGAGTAACATGAAATTAATAAACAAAAAAACCCCGATGATAATGGTAAAATAAGGCCATATTTCTTCCTTGTTAACTGCCACGATTCTAGATATCTACCATAAGCAGTTAATATGTGAATCAGGACGTTTATATACAGCCATAAGCATATAACGTCACTGATAAAGACTGTGCTCCATATCATATAATATATAGAGTGAATGTAGCCAGCTGGCTTCAACAAATAAAAAAATTCATATCTTGATGATAAGGATACTAAACCAATACCAACTAGTAGGTATACAAAGTAGCTCGAGTGTTGAGCATAGTAATGTGCTATGCTCCAATAGAAAACTTGAAACAATCTCTTAAGTGATTTGAGTAAGCCTTTGGGCCTGTCTTTCTCCTTTGGAACTATTAAAAGATGATTTTTAACTTAATGACAAAAGACAATAAGGCATTACTTGGTAGAGTATGACAAGTATATTTCAACAAAAGAACAGTCACCATTTTAATTTTTTGAGCTCGGACTGGAAGCATGTGATATCACTGATGTGAGCAAATCTAATACCGTATAGCGGGAAATTTTGGAGGGAATTAAATTTGGCGAATTTGGCGTTTTGATAGCCATTCGCCAAAATTAAACCCGCCATTTTGATCCATTATACGCATGCTCAATGCACGTGTCCACCAATTCGCCAAATTAAAATCCGCCAATCACCAAAATTTAGCAATTCGCCAAATTTTAGTCCCTCCAAAATTTTCCGCTATACGGTAGCTAAATCAACTAATAGGCGTGGCTAGATCTGTTATTATAATCATAGATAATAGAGTAAATGAAATCTACTCTATAATCTGTCATAATCATGCCATACTGAAATGTCCATAGCAAGCAAGGATATTTAAAATGTATTCATAGCTTTAAGTATTATTATTATCAAATGAAGATTGTTCAGTGGCAGTAGTGCCAGTAGTCTCTGAAGAAACTGTATTTCCATTATCATTTTTACTCTTGCTAGCACCAGACTGGAGATACTCTTCCCATTGCTTTAATCGTAGTTCCCTCTCCTTGTCTGTCTCTTCAATCTACAGCAGTAAAAAGTATAATAACTCCATTGTAAAGGTATAGTTGAAGGATACCAATTGAAAGTACTAATAGTCTAGTTGTTTATAATGAATTAATAATATGTGTAATTGCTTTCAACCTGATAGTTAGTGACACCATCCCAGAGGAATACTTCCAACTGTCTTCCTGCATAATAGCGACCATTCATAGCAGTAATGGCCGCCTCTGCTGGTTCAAACTCCTTAAAAGCTACAGAAGCAACACCATCAACATGTCTCTATAATTATTATAGAGAGAGACAGCAATGTTCAAGTAGAATTGTAGATAATGATTATATCTTACATCAAAGACAAGAACCTTCTTAACTTCACCAAATTTTGAACATTCTTCTCTCAAATCATCTCTTATGTCAGTGATAAGTGTAGGATCAACCTTTTATTATAAATCAGTACATTATGTATAATATACATGTCAAAGTGTTACTTCAAATTCTTTTGGATCAAAGAGATGCTTAAAAATGACTATTCTTTGGTGCTTAAACTTGGGCTTGCCATCACCTTTTCTCTCCTTCCAGTCCAAAAGCCTTTTGAATGGGAGAATAAGAAAAAAAGAGAATAATACAGTACCTCTCTTGTTTGCTTCCTTTGGCTTTCTTTTTGTTTTGCTTCTTCTTCCGGAGAGAAGGATTGTACTCACCTTTCATTTGAAACTGAGCCTAAGGAAGGAAAATAAGAAGGCATACAAACACAATGCTTAATATACTCTTTTCACTGATAATTTCTTTCCTCTGATTTCACTCTCATCCAACAAATCAAGGGCAAGTTGAACTGATTCAATTTTCAAATAGCAACACAACCCATCTCCTTTGAGCTGCCCATCACTATCATGATAAAGCTTGACTTTAGGATCTCCTTAATAAAAAGAGAGAGAGGAAATAAAAGGAGATAATATTATAAAGAAGCATAATATTAATACCATCATCATCCTCCATTATAATGCCACATTTTGTCATGTGCTCAGCAAACTCTTCCAATGTTATGTCAAGTGGTAGTCCACTCACATACACATTTGTATTGTGGCTCTCATCAATATCAAACCAACCTATATCATAATGGCAATTAATGCAAAATTTATAAAGACTATGCATTAAGATGCATACTTGGCTCATTAACTTTCTTCTTTTTTGGTTCAGGCTCTGATGTTCCATCAGTTTTTCCTCCTCCCTATAGGGCAACAGTAATTATTAATTATATCCAAATACTTGATCTCACTCTCTCTTCAACTGTTTCTGTCTTGCTTGCAGATGCTGTCTCTTCAACTTTTTTCTCAGTCTCTTTCTCTTCCTCTGGCTGATAAAACCCATAACTTGCATGGTAATTTGCAAGAAAAGTATTATCAATCTGAAATATTCTTAAAATAATATATATTCGTAAGCAACGACTCATACTTTTGGGAACCATGCCCTCTTTTCTGGATCCCATTCATAAACAGTGCCATCGGTTGGATCAGTGTATGTTGCCAATCCTCCATCTTCTTTTTTAGAGGCTTCAACTTTCTGTGCCTCCAGTTGATACTTGAAGTCTTCCTCCATTTTTACAAGCAGCTGAGGAGTCCCTAACTATTTATAGTCTCCCTCTCCCTTTGTCTCGTAATAAATATCCATCATTCACCTTTTGTTGTAACTGCTATAGATGATTCCTTCTTTATAAGAGGATTTTCGAAAGTTTTTCCAACTTTGCTTTTCTTGCTTATTGTTAGACCACACCCATAGCATAGAAATTATTAATACCCACGCCTACAAAATGGCTTCCACTTGGGAACTCATAAAACAAGGTGCAGAGGCAAAAGTCTACAGAGGAAAATTTTATGGAGCTCCTACAATTCTCAAGGAAAGGTTCCAAAAGAAGTACAGAGTCCCCAGTCTGGACAAAAAGCTTTCCAGCCGTCGTACCAGCCAAGAGGCCCGCTCAATGTCAAGGTGCCTGAAACTTGGTGTCCGTGCCCCTGCAGTCTACCACGTGGACCTGGAAAAGAGACACATTTATATGGAAGATGTAACTTCAGGCCTGATTTTGAAAGAGTACTTAAATTGTTTGGATCCGGTCTCTCACTCGGACTCTTTAGAAAACGTAATGAAAACTGTGGGTGGTGTCATTGCAATGATACACGACGGGGACCTCATTCACGGAGACTTGACAACATCTAACATGATTTACAATGAAGCCGAATCAAATCTGGCGCTGATTGATTTCGGGTTGAGTTTTGTGTCGAGCCTTGCAGAGGACAAAGGTGTTGATCTGTATGTACTTGAGCGAGCATTGCTTAGTACTCATCCAGACACGGAGAGACTCTTTAAAATATTACTAGACAGTTACAGAGCTGCTTCTAAGAATGGCGACTCTGTCATAGCTAAACTAGACGAGGTGAGAATGAGAGGGAGGAAGAGATTAATGGTTGGATGACATTTTTTTGTTTTAGTAATTAATTTTTTTGTTGTAATAATAATTATTAGCGATCAAATTATGAAACGTTAAATTATTTTATATAGTAGGCAGTTTTTTCAGGCTACTAGTGTTGCTTAAATTGATTTCGGCTTTCACCAGCACAACATTTTTCCATCCACCTTGTGGGAGCTCATCATCATCAGAGAATTTTGAAATCTCTTTGGCAGAAAGACAAGCAAGTGTTCTATCAAACACTATTGTATAAGTACCATCTTTGTCAAAAATATAAGCCTCGGTCAGATCAACACTCGCTGAAATCGTCTCTCCTGCTTTAATGAGCTTAAAAGTCTTCTTAGTCGGTGGCAAACGTCTAGCGAGTATCCCCATGTATTGTACATCAGTGCCATCTTGATAGGTAATGGTGAGGAAGCTAGAATATATTCCCTCTAAAGGAGTAGAGTATGTGCCAATGTAGTAGTCCTCATCAGCTGTGTTGGTGAATTCAAAATTACAGAGGACTTCACCATTGTGACCCCTAGAGGCAGACATAGAGACATTGATAGGAGACTCAGGAGATGCAGCCATGGTGCTTCCTACATGTAAAAAGGAAAAGAAAATATACTTGATGTTATTAGATCTAAATTACCTGAGCACAAGAACAATATAGCAGATAGAAATAAAATCATTGAAAAAGCAGAAGAATGCACAATCAGTTGTTTACTGTATTGACGCAAATTTTATAATGGTCTACGTTATTGGCTCACACTTCAGCTAGCTGATACAGCTACTATTATTACTATTGGCATTTGGCACTCAGTTTTAATAACAGATTAAGAAATTTAAAATTACTTCATTACAATCAAAACATGCGAATCAAATATACAAGACAAAGACAATGTAAAATATATAGCCACATGTATGAGCAAAAAAAAGCAGCAATGTGTTCGTAAAGTTAACTAATCAAAACGTGGCTTAGCCAAATCACGAGTATTGGCCAAATTGATTTCGACTTTTGCAAGGACCACGTCATTCCATCCTCCTTGAGGGAGCTCCTCATCCTTGACAATATTTGACATCTCACTAGCAGACAGATAAGCAAGTGGCCTGTCATACACTATAGTATAAGTGCCATCTTTGTCAAAAGTATAAGCCTCGGTAAGATCAACGCTGGCCGAAATGGTCTCTCCTGCTTTAATTAGTTTAAAGTTCTCCTTTGTAGCTGCAACACGTCCTGCAAGTATCCCCATGTATGGTACATCAGTACCATCTTGATAGGTGATGGTAAGAAACCGATTGTATATTCCTTCCAATGGAGTGAAGTATTCACCAACGTAGTAGTCTTCACTGGCCGTGTTAGTGTAATCAAAATCACAATTGAGTTTACTCATAACACGAGAACATGACATTGAGACCTTGATTGGAGAATTAGATGATGCCATGGTGCTTCCTATGAGAAGAATATTTAGTAATTATACTGAGTTAGTTTAAGACAAATTCAATTATTAACAGACAGCCCTAATTAAGGAATCCTTATATTACTTGAATAAGATTGCAGCACCAATGTAGCCACCACAAACAAGATCATAATCAAAAGGGAAAGAAAGAGTAGTTCACTTGTAGATCTACAAGACACTTGACTGTTGTTTATTGTTCTATATCCTTATAGCTCAAAGAAGTTGTATTGAATGACACCTCACTAAATTACTACTACTAGAATTTACGTATAGTAGAAATTAACAACTGCCAAAATGGAATTATAATTTTAACACTCATTATAGCCTCCCATCTAATGCACACCTGTTAAAAACCGCCAATGACATTATGCTATTGAACTGAAATACAACTTATTTTATTATTATAAAGCATGAAATCAAATAATATGCAATTTTTTTAAACAAAACACAACATGCTTAGTTTCTCCTACGTGTAAGTCTTTCTAAACTGCTGACATTCTCCAGTAGCACTTCAGTCGATGCATTAAAAGGATCAAATCCTCCAGTAGGTAAATCTTTATCATCTTTGATCCTTGACATCTCTTTAGCAGAGATACAAACAAGCGGTCGATCGTACTCGATCTTGTACTTGCCATTTTTTTCAAAAGTATAAAAACGGTTCACTTGTATTGTCACAGACTCTGTTTCACCCGATTTGACAAGAATGTACTCTTCTTTCCGAACGGGCCCACGCTTTGCAAGAATCCCTGAGTAACGTACTTCGGCTCCATCCTCATCCGTAATTTTTAAAATTCTATTTCTAATCCCCTCCAGTGGAGTATAGCGCTTGCAAAGGTAGTAGTCTTCATCGCCATTATTTGTGTAATCAAATTTACAATCTACTGAGGTTGGCTGGCAAGAGCAAGACATGGATAATGAAAAAGGAGAAGGAGCTTTAGAGGAAGAGGAGACTGCCTTGGATGACATTGAAACTGTCAAGATAATAATAAAATGAAGATCATGGTGATCCACACTTGCGGCACAGACATATCATGCATTGGTTTTATGAATTATTACATTCAAGCATGCAAGTTCAATATTATTTTATCCTACATTATCAGTAATTAGTATTAAGTATCACAATCTTACCCAATATAGAATAGACCAGCAATAAAGTTAGACAAAATAAGAACGAATAAAGAATGCTCTGATTCTTCACTGGCATCAAAAACAAGACAATGAGTCCACAAATCTAAGACAAAATCAGAAATCCTCTTCTCTCTCTGATGTCAACAGGTTAGAGTTTAGTAGGCGTGTCTAGGTTTAGTAATTTTAATAAATTTATAACTTTTCGTTTGATAACTGCACACGTGGACTCCAGAAACTTCTTTTTCATTTCACTCTCCTGGACTGGTCTTAAAAGTCTAATCTAATGTAATACAATGTACTATAAGGTGATCTCATATATTCCTCTTTTTATTATACAGATTAAAAAATCAAAATGGCTGATGAAGACACTGCCCCAATGGCCACAGAGGAACAGCCCACAGAGGAGCAGCCCACTGAGGAGCAGCCCACAGAGGAGCAGCCCACAGAGGAGCAGCCCACAGAGGAGCAGCCCACAGAGGAGCAGCCCACAGAGGAGCAGCCCACGGACACAGATACCGCTCCTCCAGAGGAATGGGGTCAGGACATATCACCGAACGGGGACGCTCAAGTTTTTAAAAAGATTTTGAAAGATGGGGAGGGAGACGAGACCCCAATGAAAGGGAACGAAGTGTATGTGCATTATACTGGACGACTCCTGGATGGAACGGTCTTTGATTCAAGCGTGGACAGAAAGGAAATGTTTAACTTTAAACTTGGACAAGGGAGTGTAAGTCAGGCTAACATTAAAGCAGGGTTTCCCACAGAATTTTAGAGCTTTTTGTCACCGAATTTGTTCCAAAAGCTTGTCAGCTCATAAAGCATGCTTTTTATGAAACTTAGCATGCTTTGTGAGGAACCCTGAATTAAAGCTATTTCATTATGTCCCGATTTCATTTTGAATTTTTTTATCGTAGGTGATTAAAGGTTGGGATGTAGGCGTGGCCACAATGAAAAAAGGCGAGAAATGTCTTTTGACATGTAAACCGGACTACGCTTACGGAAAATCTGGTGCTGGAGACAACATTCCTCCTAATGCAACCCTTCAGTTTGAAGTGGAGCTGTTCCACTGGGATGGAGAAGATGTGACAGGAGATGATGGAGTCGTAATGTTCACTTTAAAGGAGGGAACTGGGCACAGGAAACCTACAGAGGGATCAACTGTAAATGGTGAGATTAACAATAAAAATATCAACATTTTTGACTGACGATTTTTCTGCTAGTTCATATAAAGGGGATGTATGAATCGAAAGTTATTGAAGACAGAGATGTGGAGTTTGATCTTGGAGAAGGTACAGCTACATACTTATATTCACACATCATAATAATATTGTCTCTTATTAGGGTCTGAGTCTTCAGTCATTGAAGGAATAGAGAAAGCTTTAGCAAAGATGAAAGAAAAAGAAGAATGTAGGCTAGTTATTCAGCCTGGCTATGCTTATGGGGCAAGTGGTAATGAGGCTAATGGCGTCCCTCCTAATGCAGTTGTAACCTACTGGGTAACACTCAATAGTTTCATAAAGGTAAGTAATGGAATACAGTATGTTATCAATTAATTTATTTCTTTCTATTTTTAAGGCCAAATCTTCCTATGAGTACGATGATGTTAAAGATAGGATTACTGACAGCACAGCACTAAAAGAGAAAGGCTCCAAGTATTTTAAAGAGTCAAAGTTCCCACTTGCTCTCAAGCTCTATCAAAGAGGACTGGGATTGGTGGATAAGAGTGATGATGGAGAGGCAACAAAGGAGATCAGATTAATCCTCCTCCTCAATACAGCTCTCTGTCAAATTAAACAAAACTTAGGAATAGAGGCCAGAGATAACTGTGATAAGGTAAGGGATGATTGATATTATGTACACTTTGAATTATATTTATTAGGTTATTGAGGAAGATCCATCAAATGTTAAGGCTCACTTTAGAAGAGGACAAGTAAATTAAAATTATTCCTTTTATCTCATTTTCTTACTCTCCTTTCCTCCCTCTGTATCTCTTCTAGAGTTATCAGTTGATGCAAGATTACGATGAAGCCTTGAAATGTTTTCAGGAAGTTATTAAGCTTGATGCAAAGAACCGATCTGCAGTCCAACAGGCTCAAATCTGTCGGCAAAAGATTCGTCAACAACTTGAAAAGGACAAGAAGATGTATGCCAGCATGTTCAAGGGAACATTAAGCACCGAGTAAGAAGAAGAACGATAGAGAAGTAGATTAATTATGGCAGTTTGTCATAGAAAAAAAGCAGTTCATTTTATCAACTGAGTTCCACTAATTTAAATTGATGTTTTATTTAATTATTATTTATTTTTAAAATCAGAGATGACGAGAGGAAGGATCCTGAGAAAAAGAAAATGGAAAATGGCGATGTGAAGGAAGACAGCAGTCCAGTGAAGGACACGATTGCTCAAGCTGTTGAAGAGGAAGAAAGGGAGTCTGCTCCAGTGGAAGCATGAGCTAGAATGAGGACAAAAAATAATAATAAGATTGCTTAAATTAGGAAAGTTATATTTTATTTTGTTTTATATACTGGGACTTTTCTAGTTTTTGTTTTGAATATGATTCAAATTTTGTTGGGTTTACTGAGCATGCTTTGATCATGTACAGAGTGTGTTGCTAAGCATTTGTGCATGTGTTAATTGCTGATGTGTTTTTCTGTGGTGCTAAAATTGGAGTGCTAAAACACACTACAGTAGCAGCAGAGATTTTGACCACAAGTAATGGAAGCAAGTGTGTATCACGAAACCTCCGACTATCAGCTTGAGGATGGTATAAAGTTGCTGGAGATTATCTGCCCTGGGCTCAATGAGAAGGTCCTTGACATTGGCTGTGGTACTGGTCGCCTGTCTAAAGTTATTTCCAAAAGAGTTGGCAATGGTGGGAAAGTGATTGGAGTCGATCCTGACGAGGAGAGAATAAAAATAGCAATAAATGAAAGGAAAGGATACAACAACATCCAGTTCATGGTGGGATCGGATCAAACCTTCCCTGAAGATAAATATGATGCTATTGTCTCCACTGATGTTTTTCACTGGATCAAAGACAAGGAGCCCCTTTTCAAGAGGATTTATGATAACCTCAAGCCAGGAGGAAAACTGGGATTCACGACCTTTGATGGAAATGCAAGGCCGGATTTATTGATCGAGATCTTTCGTTTGTGCGGTCCAAAGACCTATGAAGCAGCAATGAGCTGTGTCTATTGTGACACAGGTCAGAAGTACAAGGAACTGGCGGCAGCTATTGGCTTTGACGTGATGCTGTTGGATGTAAAGGCTCGGAAAAATATCTTCCCAAATTTAGACGCATTCATTGATTTCTTTTATGCTGTCTATTATGGAATGTTTGATCGTGATGATCCAGGACTGAATGATCTGAAGGAAAGGTACAAGGGGCAACCTGTACCAATGGAGTTGCAGCGACTGACCATGATACTGACCAAACCGCTGGAGTAAAAACAATAGATCAGATTAAAAAGAAACTTAAGTTATTTTTTGCATAGTTTAGAATAGCACTAATGCATAGGCATAGCTTTTAAGGTGTCAATTGTCCCAAAACTGTAGCACCAATTGTCACTACATGTAGCTTTAATTATCTACAATAATAATTATCAGAATGATTATGTCATGATTATTGATTATTGCTTGATAGCATGAAGGAAGTAGTTCATGTTAGTATCTGATTGATAGTTCCATACATTAGTCAGTGGATTATATCCTAGTCCTATCACGGACACTGTACTCATGCTGTGTCTCTTCACTATCTCATCCAGCTCCTCTGGAGTCACAAACTTGTTCCAGTCGTGAGTTCCACGAGGTAGAATGTTAAAGATATACTCGGCAGCCATTTTGGCTAAAAATAGAGAGGGAATAGTACGATTTATAGTCGAGAATACGACCGAGCCACCAGGCTAAAGAGATAGAAAAAAATACAATGATTCAACAAACAATTTTAAAATACAATGATTCAACAAACGATTTTAATGATACCTACCTTAGCCATTTGACTTAGTTGATGAACAAACATGTCCACATCAGCAACGTGTTCCAGTACTTCTGATGCAACAACGCAATCGAAATCTTCACTGGAAGAATCAGTATCGATGGGCTCAGAATCAGCCTTGATCAGATCTTCAAGTGAGCATGATTGATACTTGACGCGATCTTTGATGTCACTCGAGTTTTTCGTTAGCATTAAATGAGTCGTGGCCACATTAATCGCAACCGGATTAGGATCAATACCCAATACATCAGAGCCTAGTTCTCCTAACGACTATAGTCAAATAAATTTTAATTAAAATGGGCGTGGCTTACTTCACACAAAATCCCTCCCCCACAACCAACATCCAGTATGCTGAATCCTTTTAGTGGGTGTGGTCCCAGTTCCCCGGCTTCGTCCCTAGTTCCAATTAATGCCTCTTTTATCAGAGGAACACGGACGGTATTCATTGAATGAAGGGCAGCCGCTGGGCCTTTCCTGTCATCCCACCATTCTTTCAGAGACAGAGAGAACTTCTCAGTTTCTGTACTATCAACAGTAGAACTATAAAAAATTATACACATATCTATAAAATAGAACGGAGAAACAATCACTTTAGCCTCCTTAAAAATGAAAGAATGTTGATTTTTCTGAACAGAGATATTTTCCCCATTATTTTTGTGACGTCATTAATTTTGATGGGCGAGGCCGTGACGTCATATGTTGCCATGAGACACGCCCATCCATCCACCCAGCCAGAGCCCCAGCACACAAGGAGGCAGCATCTGTCCCTTCCTTACCACAAAAATATCTGACTGTAGGAGTCAGAGAGGATAAAGAAACCATTTAAAAAGAGACTGGGTCCTATTTATAAGAGGAAAAGAAGTTAGACTCGCTTCCCTGGCTCTATAATCTTTAAAATTTCTCCTTTTCTCTTCCCAGCATGACGAGCGTGGCGGACAGGGCAACTGCTTTCAAGCACGCCGTGAGTGGATCCAACATAAACAAAATAGTATGCAAGGCATCCAGTCATGACCTAGCTGGACCTAAGAAGAAACATGTAGATTGTAAGGGACAAGTGTTTATGTATATGTACATGTATTAATTATTTTGTGGGTGTGGGGTTATTGTCCTAGCTAATCTTCACTTTCTATGATTATGCCCCTGTATCCTTAATTATTCAAGCTCTTTTTAACATGGCTGTCCCTTCTCTCCCTTCTTCTTGTTATTCTATTCTCTTCTTCCTCTCTCTTTTGTCCACATTATTGTTATTGATGGTTATCCTGACCCTATTTCCTTTCCATAATGTCTCATTCTTATTTAGTCTTGATCACTCTTACCAACAACCCACAAGTCTCTATGCCAACTCTAGTGGACATGTTAGGCGAGAGATTGACTAATTCCAGTTGGATAGTTGTCATGAAAGCATTAATAACAACTCACAACCTTTTAACACTGGGAAACGAGGTACGTGTGTATGTATGTACATACTTATAATTATACTGTACATGTATATATTTTACATCTTGTTCAACCTCTTGTTTGCCTGTCTATATGCGCTTTGTCCTCTTAATTTGTTTATTTCTCTCTCTATCTTCTTTCCTCTTTTATGATATCACACGCGTACATGTACACATACGGAGAGATGTACATGTACTTTCAATTTTATTCTCTCGTTATGCTCCTCCTCATGTTCATAAGACAAGACTCTAACATGGCAGTCACTCAGACATTAATGCTTCCTGGAAATTGATTTTAAATAATTGATCAGCAACTATAGGAGGGAATGGGAGGGAAATGGTTACTGATAATTATTATAATAATGCTACAAGGTCTTGTCTTGTGGTTTTGAACTAATAATAACTATGCTTTGAGTAGTAATGTGAAATCATAATAATGACTGTCTGTCATGCATGCATGTATAATGTATTAAGATACATGGTGTCTAATGAGATTGTAAGATAATACTATATGACCTTATAAAGCCATGAGCACTAACTGACAGGTGTAGGGAAAGAAGGGAGAGAGAGAGAGAGAGAAAGGGGAGAGGGAATCAGGTGGTCCCATCAGTTATGATTCATCCCTGTTATCAAATGGTCTATTGATTGTTTATGTATGTATGCATGCGTGTATGTGCATGTATGTAAGTACATATACTTAAATGGAAATTGATTATTTCTAGAATTTTCTAATAATAAGCATCAACATCCTTACTGTATGAGGCACTAATTAGTGTCACAGTGTCTGACTACCATTCAAACTTGTTTTTGTTTTGTTCAGAAGGCATGCAGTGACAATGTTATAATGATTTTTAATTTAGTGAGTATACTTGTAATTGCAAAAGATATTACTGCATAAAGTTTTGCATAATGCGTTCTTTTCTTTCATTAATATTTAGAAATATCTTCAATGTTTGGCCACTCGCACAAATCCCTTTGAATTGGAAGGTTTTCATGATCGTAGCTCTGTCCTTGGTTAGTTGCACGTTAGTTAGTCACTTGACCCGATTAACGAGTTATCTTTTAGCTTCCGACATGACAAAATATGTTCACAAATATTCGAGATATTTGGGTGCTTACTGCAGTGGATATAGAGCTACTGTATTGGACATATATAGGATGCCAAGAGGGTAAGTAAAACTAATCATTATTGTCTCTATAGTACACATCCTCATTTCCTTGTTTCTTGCTTCTCCCTCTCCCTCTCCCTCTCTCTCTCTCCTTCCTCTTTCTCTATTAGTGATAAAAGTCCACTTAGAGCAATGGATCATGCTAAAGTACTAATACATAATCACACACATGCTTATCTCAGTTATCTGTCTCTTTTTTCCTACTTCCTTTCTTTTATCTTCAGCTCCTCAAAGCTTCAACTGTCCTTCAGGGACAGCTAGATCTACTCTTAGACCTGGATGTAAGTTAAAACCTTCCACCATTGTATAACTAAGGACCGTGCACTCCTTTACAGATTACCCAAGGAGAACTAACCAATGGCGTCATCAACACAGCATTCCTCATGTTATACAAGGTACAGTGCCATAGCAACAAGCTCCACCCCTTTTCACGACACCCTTTTAGGACTTGATTAAGTTGTATGCCGTGTACAATGATGCACTTCTTAATGTACTAGGTAAGAAACTACACCACCAGCACTAAGATTCTATTAATTATTATTATTATTTTTAGAACACTTTTTTGAAATGAAGAAGGCCCAGTGTAAAGAGGCCGTCGAGATTTATCGCAAATTTCTAACAAGACAAGAAAACGTTCAGAATTTTTTGAAACTTGCAGAGGTGAGCGATTAAATTTTTGCTCACTTAGCTACACTTTGCTCTCCTTTCCCTTCGTGTTCCTAATTTTGTTTTAATAAGGAAATCGGTGTTGATCAGAAGTCTCACCTAAACCTCCGCCAGGTACCAGCTGATTTGCTTCAAGCACTGGAGGAGCACATTGGAGAAATGGACACTATTAGAAAGGCAGCCAATAACCAGAAACCAAGGTAAACTAAATAATAATTATAGTAATAATGTCGACGTAGTACGGGATACATGGTTTACATAAATCTGTGCCAAGTTTTAATGATTTTTGACTATCAACAATACAATCCATGCCATGTACGTGTACATGTACGTGCACACATGTAAACATGCATTGCCTTTAGTTACTCACCTCTTGTTGGTTATTTTAGTCCTCAGATTAAAGCTGCCTCTGAGAAACTCTCTGGGATGAAGGACCAGCGTACTAGCAGCGGATCAAACACCCCAACCTTCCGCTCCATCACTCCGAATAAGATGCCACAAGGTAACGAGGAGCTCCTTGAGGCTCAGAAGAAACGCTTTGAAGAACTTAAGGTGAGGTGTATTTCTAATTAAAGACCTCCTTCAGTACAATGTAGCACATTAAGCTACTTATGTGTACTCGTTATAATGATTCTTGTCATGTACATGTACTTATACAGACGTATGTGTGCTTATTTCATAATTTATTTTCTCTTTGTAGAAACGTGCTTCAGATAAGAATTTTGGAGGAGGGAGTCCTGTACCTCAAGACCCTCCCCCTGCAGCATCAAAAGGTAGATCAAAGTCTCCGGAAGGTGACGAGTTTGACAAGATGGCCGCCACGAGGTCGACCCCACAACTCCAACCAGCATCAAACAACAAATCAGGTGGACTAGACGAATTGTTTGGACTTGATTTTGGAGCTACAGGCACAAGTGGATCTGCTAGTATGTCAATGGGAGGAAGTACTGCTACTGCTGGAGGAAACACCTTTAATCCTTTTCAGTCTCAGCCTCAGAACAATCCATGGGGAGGTGGCGGTGAGTCAAAGGTAATTTTATAATTTTAATTTTTATTGTACGTGTAGGCGGGTATCAAGAGGTGAGCCTTTTCCCACAGTCCGGGGGTAATCCTTTGGACTCTTCATTTGGTAGTCCTGCTCCTACTTCAATGGGTAACAGTCTTGGTGACGTGTTGCAGCCTGTGGCTACGGGACCTCTAGCTGCTCCAGTTTCTCAGCCACAGCCCAAACGATTAACCACTGACGTTGACTCAAGCTTAGCCCAGGCAGCTGCTAATCTAAGCATTGAACTATCAGGAGGAGGAGGAGGAGGAGGAGGAGGAGGAGCTGGTGGTGGTGGTGGTGTGTTTGGAGTACCACCCAGCAGCAAGTAAGGGAGTATTTGTGCTCAAAAATTGGGCCAAAGTCCCTGTACTATAGTACAGGGACTTTGGCCAAATTTCACCAAAAATGACTAGGAGAGAATTCTCTATTTTTATAATTTTTCCTGATACATATACATGTTTTTATGTTGTATAGCAAGTTTGAATTCATTCCAATCAAAATAAGATTTTTTGTGAATTTTTAAAGTTGCTCAAAAATTGGGCCAAAGTCCCTGTACTATAGTACAGGGATGATGGCCAAATTTCGCCAAAAATGACTAGGAGAGAATTCTCTATTTTTATAATTTTTCCTGATACGTATACATGTTTTTATGTTGCATAGCAAGTTTGAGTTCATTCCAATCGAAACTGGATTTTTTGTGAATTTTTAAAGTTTCTCCAAAAACTGTTTGCTATTTTATATGGTCTTGTCAGCTCATGGTGCATGCTTTTTAGCTCACTTAGCATGCTTTGTGGGGAAATCTCAAATCTGACATGTACATATACTGTATTTGCACATCTTACAAATTTTTTACTTGCCATATTTCTTCACATAGGCCTTCTCTACAGTGGTCTGGTCCCACTCCCCAGCAGAGCACGCTGACTGGTGGTCCCATGTACCAAAGGCCACAGATAATGCAACCAACTACGCTACCACCTGGTCAGTCGGCGGCCATGTTTGGAGGTGGAGGGTTTTATCAACCTCAGGGACCTTATGGAATGGTAATTCTACGCACATGTACATGTTTTTTATGTTTTTGTGTTCTTTTAGCAACCTAGTGGATTCCAGCAGCAAGGAGGTTGGCCTCAAACTGGTGGGCCTATGATGGGAGCTGCTCCTATGTATAATCAAGGGTCTTATAATTACTCGACACCTCAAGTTAGTACATGTACATGTACGTCACATTGCACTGTACATGTACATGTATGTATGTCATCATAATTGCATTTTATTTATTTTCACTCTTTTACACATACACATAACTGAAAACAGCGACAGCAACCTTTCTTCTAATTTTGAAGGCACACAAAGTGACAATTACGAGTTTAGCTTCTGATATTTTTAACTGTCTATTATTGTTGTTATTATTATTATTATTATTATTATTATTGTTATTATTATTGTTATTGTTATTATTATTGCACTTTTTCATTGTACCGAAAGCTACTCACACATATTATCCACACATTATTATTATTATTATTACTATTGTTGTTATCTATTGCTATTGTTATTATTGCTGGTGTCAGAATAATAGAAACAATTATTACACGTAATTCCTCTCTTTTTTGCATTACTTAATAGTGCTTTCTCACTCATGTAATTATATTTTAGTATTAAGTTATATTTTATATTCTAGCAATATACACCTGATAAACTATCAGTAATTACTTTGTTTGTTATAATTAAGATAGTTTAATACACGTGATACTGGAGACATGTCTTTCACAAATATCACTGCTATCACTGCAAGTTGGCTTGTTAATTACAGTCCCTCTGTATACTGAAGTACTGCTACCGCCTCCGTCAAGATTCTAAATAATGATTACTGGTAAAACTTTGTTTTAATGCGCTAGTTGTTATTTTTACCACTGCTTCCCAGCACCCAAGATCTATCAATACTTCAGAAAATTCATATAAATCCAGTCCAGCTTTTATATCTTCCTCACCGTCAACCTTCAAACAAAAAACGAATTTTCATCTCAGATTATTCAGTTTCTGCACATGCATGCACGAGGCTTACTTCTGCTAGTATAAGTGTCCCATTTCTTGCAACACATATTCCAGTCCGTGGAGCTTTCTCTGTTACAAAAGTGTCTGGCAGTTCTTCTATTGGAATGCTTTTCTTAACATTATCTTCACCACTGAAGAATGAATCACGGCATAGCATACCATACTGTAGTATAGTGAGTACTAACCGTCTAACAATCCAGCCAAACCCCGATATTAATTGTGTCCAGTTGTATTCTCCACTGGTCAATGTTTTATTTGTCAAGTACCCAAGGACGTAGGACTTTGAAGTAATGGCAAAATTAACAGTAGCTTGACCAGCCAGCTGTAGAAAAGAAATAAGAGCTAACGTTAGTCATTGTTTGTGGACGTTGCATATCAAACCTGCTCTGTTTTTCCATTAGTAATTATATTTCCCACGCAAGAGTTTGTTTTGGTGTTAAAATAGCCAGCGTTAGTAGAGTAATTGCAATTGTTCTCTTTTGATGTAAGAGAAGTTAGATTAACCGTACCACAACCACCTGCCAACAAACAAACTTTTAATAATTACTAAAACACTTTATCTTAATTTGCCTTTCGGGAGCTCAAATGAGAATTGACTAGATACACCAGAAGGCAAAACAGCTACAAAAGCAGTATAACTCCTGTTGGTATTGGATACAATCCCTTTGTATGAGAAATTAGAGAAAGGTATCGACACATTGTGATAGTCTAGGACTACATAGTCATCATCCAGCTGGTATTGTGTCGAGAAAGGTGATATGAGGGCCAGGGAGGTAGCAATAGAGCTCAGGATGATCATTAAAGTGACCTTCATGGCTGCAATGCTAGCAAAATGCCAAAATGGTTAGACCCTTCAATCATTCTCTAATTTGATTGTACGAGCCACGCTCTTCAGTGCGTGGGTGTTGAATCATGTGAGCCACACCCGGGTGGGGCTGGTGTTTTCTTGTAAACAAGACAAGAATGGGTTGTATGACTTGCAAAGCGTCTCCTTTGGGTACAGGAGGAGCAGTTCATCCAACAGGACGAGGTAAAGTACATTCTTTATACCCACTAGTCATTATTATTACTTAATAGTTGATCCAATGGAAGCATGGCTGTGTGATGTTGTTGATGATTATGATAGCTATCAACTCAACAATGCCATAATGGCATCAAGGAATTATAACAGTAGAGCATCAGTACAGACTTTTGAACCACCTCCTCCATATTCCGAGAGAGCAGGAGCCTTAGAGAGAGTAGTAGAAGATCAGGACTCTGACCCTCTGGAGCAGGAACAACGGCTTCATCAGACCTTTGACACTTCTGACTTTCTCAATCAAAGCCATAGTAGCAGTCTATCTCTTCCTATGGATTTACACGAAAGAATTGCAACTTTAGAAATAATCTTGCAAAGAGAAAGAGCATCAGCAAGAGCTGCAGGAGCTATAGAACCAGCAGCTACAACAGTAAGAGTAGTTCCTCATCGGTTGGATGTACCTCCCTCTGTTCAACAACCACCAGTTCGATCTCTTCCTCCTCTTCCTCCTTGCCCTCCTCCTCCTCTTGTCCCTAGGTCCCTCAGTCAGGACTCATTTGATGTTGATTTGCCTCCAATTTCTCTACACCGAAGTTTCTCACAAAGTCAGCATCATCACATACAAAGAAGGCGTAGGAGAAAGAGTCAAAATCGACGCCGTTCACAAACAGCCTCTCAATCACTTCGAAATGATTCCGATAGACAAATTACTATTAGACGTCATTCTACCAGTGAGTTGATGAATAGGAGAGAAGAGGAAGAAAGAGGAGTGAGAGTTGAAGGAGGTGAGAGAGAAGGCACAGCTGAGGAAGAAGAAAGGAAAGAGACAGTCGAAGAGCAAGAAAAAGAAAAAGCAGCAGAAGAAGGAAAAAGGGAAGAGAATATTGAAGATGATCATGATGATGATCAAGTTGATAATGTTACTGAGAGTGATGAAGGCAGAGCTACAATTGATCAAAGTACTAACAACCAAAATGAAAATGAAAGAGAGAGGACTATCGAAAGCAGCAAGGAAGAAGAAGAAACTGAGCACACTGAAAGCAGTGAAGAACACAACAGAAATTTTAGCTATCAATTTGAGTTGCATAGAAAAAGTAGATCATTGAATTGCATAGTAAAAAGTGAAAGAGAGAATGAATGTAAGAGTAACTCATATTGCATAATGAGAACAACAGGTACCGTGTAAATGTCTCTTATTTTTTAATAACAAAAAATAAATGAAATAAAACTATTATCAAGTAACGGAAGTACTTGCTTGTTCCATTTTAGCAAGGAATAGATTAGCACTAGGCACAAGACCAGAGTCTTTAAGTGTAATATTCATATCAGTGAATGAACGTGGTGGGAATGCTCCTTTTAATACAAAACCTTTCTTCTCTTGTTTAGATCTACATGTACTTAAAATATAATTGTACAAGTAATGCTCAAAGCATGCATAAATTACTTAATCTTATTGAGCTGCTTATGAATATCACCAATGGTATCACTTGAGTGCATCTTGAGAATGTAAGTCTATAGAAGTTATGATGGGATTGGATTAGCTAATGGTGGATCAACTGACTGTTTCTCCTGTTTCAGACTTTATTCTGAGGGTTACTAGTCTACCTGGTGTATGAGGCCTCACCTCTTCATCGTATTCTAATCTGAAAAGTTATCATGAAACTAATCAAAATAATAATTAATGTGCATAGTACCATACCTTTGCTTGATTTCTTCAACAACTGGAGTATTGAGTAGTCTTACTTTGGAGCTTGACCCCTAATGATAAAACAATGCTTGCTTATAATGCATACAACTTTAAGATTAAGGGACTGCTCATTGCCTTTACAATAAATAGAATCTAAAACATACTTGCAGAGTCTCAGTGAGCCCAGCATGCACATCAATCACTCTTCCTCCTCTAATGACATTCTTTGGTATCTTTCTAAGAAAGTTCTCCATAGAAACAGTTGCACCTTTGTCAACATTACTGTCTGAAGTGACATTAGGAGTGTGTCTAATTCCAGGAGTAAGAGGAGAGGAGGGTGAATTGCTTAGTTTCTGTCCTGTTCCAGGGAATAATCTATAATGATGTGGAGTGTGGATATACTCTTCGTAACGCTTGTCATTTAGCTATAGAAATAATTATGCTAGTGTAATTACGATACAAGTACAGGAATAAAGCTATGCACTTCAAATGGGACTCCTTCAGGATAGGCCTCCTTTAGTTCAGATGGGAAATAGCCATCAAGTAAATCTTGGATGAAATTCTATCAAAGCAATCAATGGCACACAACTATTGTACATGATTACTTGAGTCATTGGGTCAGTATAGGGTCTGAATGGGCCACTAAAAAGCATGAGTCCATTAGAATATAATGCTAAAGGGATTGGCTCTGGTACCTGGTGTAGTACATATGCATTAACCATTGGACATCATTAAAATGTTACCTTAAGTTCAGCTCCATTTGGCGTGTGCGATATAACATGACAATCTTTACCAGCAATTGTGTTTAATGAAGTTATATTTGATGCTATGAGATTAAAGTCAATCCTAAAAGAAGGAGGAGACAGAAAAGGAGGAGGGAGAGAGGATTCTGGACTCCACAGTGTTGGCTTGGTTTGAGGAGGAGTAGTGGAAGATAGACTAGGAGGAGTTGAAGTTAGTGGTTGACATTTTCCAACCCATACCAAACCGTAGTCATTAAGAAATTCCTATAAAGCAAAAATAGAAACTTCAAATCAAAATGCATCATAATAATATACCTCCATGTCATCAACTTGCTGCTGTAGAGCCTCACAGTGTAGCTTCAGATCATGATAAGAGGAGGAGGAGGAGGAGAGAGAGGGAGAAGAGCTCATTTGATTTAATTTAGTCTTTGCAGACAACAACCGTTCTTCTAAGTTTCTAATGTACACATCCTGTAGAATACAAAAATTGCAAAAAGTTGATAAGAGAAGGTTATTCGGTAACCTTTTCAATTATTTCTTTTTTAGCAGCCAATAGATCTTTCTCTACATTAGCAAGTCTGGTTGCCATTGATGAGACTAGATCATTATCTGTTGGCACTCCACTCTGCTTTATAGTCTTTTTCCTTTTCTTGCTCTCCTCTTCTCTTATGACACCTATTATCTCGGCCAGGAGGGGCTGGTCATCACTGCTTACAACTAAATCACTAGTGGAGCCTTCTCTTGAAGCAATTGTAGAAGCCATTTTAAGCTCTAGTTTCGATGCATCTCCATGCTTCTGCGTAGCTCTGTAAGGAGGAGATCTTGCAGCTTGAGGCAATGGCTGCTTTTTGACTTTCTTTAAGTTTCCACTTGGAGAACTCATCACTGGTGGACCTGGGGTTTATCAGTTGCCATGGAAATACTCCACGTGGGTATTAAAGGGCGTAACCAATAGGCGTGGTTTATACTGTGACATTGCAAGCATAGAGCACTCACTGGTATTATAGCCTCTTTCTGTTATTACTCTTTTCCTTATTAGCAATATCTCTAGTCTTAAAGGTAAAGTAAAGAGTGAAGTAGAACAAGATGGCCTCCGTTGGGACCTCGTCTGCTCTTTTAAGAGGGAATGGTAGTTCTAACTTCACGGATCAGTGGCCAAAGATGCAACCAATTGTCGTTAAACTCTTGAAACAGCAAGAAATTACTAGACAGGAATGGCAAGACCTTTTCTGGTAATTGTATACGTACTTTGTAATTCATTAATTATTGTTTATGAGAGAGACAAATTAGTTAATAATTATTTGAACAGCTAATAAAACAAATATTATTATTACTAATTTCCCTATTGTAATTATTAGGGACGTACATACAGTCTGTAGTTGGGATGAAAAGGCTCCGGCTAAGATACAGAAAGCTTTAGAGGAGGTTATACTCGAGTTTACTAGAGAAATACAAACGGTAAGGGAACATGAGTGGTACCACAATAGTGGGAAAAATTGACAAGAGTTCCATAATATTTGTGAATAAAAAAATACTAAAGTTGCCAAAATTAAATCCACAATTTTGCTCTATTCTGAGCACATGCTCAATGACACATGGCTATACCAAATTCAAAATCTGCCAGTATAATATAATTCAGTCATAGAATTACCAATAATTATTAATATTTCCTAATCTGCTATTACCTCTCCACCTTTCTTTTCCCCAGTCTGTCAGTCAGCATAAGGAAGAGAGTGCTCTATTGAAAGCTTACATAAAGGAATGGACAAAGTTCTTCACACAATGTCAGTACCTTCCCCTTCCCTTCCAGGTAGGCAGTCTCTGCTTTATACGAATGGACATCTCTTGTTTTTTTCCAGTCTATAGAAGTCGAGAACAGTGCAAATAAAGCGAATAAGAAAAGACAAGAAGGAAATAAAGTTCAAGTGGTAGGGGTTAACCTTCTCTCTTTTTAATGCCGAGTTTAATTGTACATGTAAATGTATGTCTTCTTTTTTTCTTCCTCTCCTCTCTTTCCTCCCAGCTAATGCTCCAGACATGGAACAGGAGCATATTTGCTGACGTCAGGTCTCAGTTATTGTCAGCTGCCATGTCTTTCTTGTATAAGGAGAGGTCAGGAGAAGCTTATGACGCACAACTAGTTATTGGAGTCAGGGAGTCTTTCGGTGAGTAAATAAGACCAACTTTATAGATACATCTAATGGCTAAAGTCTATTATGAATATGTACTGTACGCTTGATAAAGTTATTGTATTATTGTGTATGTACATGTATGTACGTGTATGTATTATGTTATCTGACATTCACTTTCTTATTCTCTCCTCTCTTTATAGTCAATTTATGCACGGACACGTCAAACAAGTTACAAATTTATCTGGAGTACTTTGAAAAGTCTTACCTCGAAGCTACAAAAGAGTTCTACACGTCTAGCTCCTCTCAGTATCTGAGCGAGAATGGAGTACAGAATTATATGAGATATGTAAGGGGAAGCAATCTCTTTCTGTCTTTTTTTTATTCTCTCTCTCTCTCTCTTTCTCTCTTTACAGGCAAGTGATAAGATTTCGGAGGAGCAGAGAAGAGCGACTCGTTATTTAGAAACCTCAAAGGACAGTCAATCAGTGAAACTAGTAAATAAAAGAATAATAAAAATCATTATATTGAATATAATTATTAATCATTGCAGGTAATGACCGAGTTGGATAGAATATTAATAAAGACGCACAGTGATGTCATACTGGAGGAGTGTCCCAAACTTATCTCGGCCAATGAAGTGGAGAGTAAGTGGAATGTGTGTTGTACTGGGTTATGTTCTATCAATCCTTATCAATCCAGAGCTAATGGTAATGTATCGTTTGATGGACCGTATAGCCAATGGGGTGGACCCAATGTTAAAGTGTTTAGAGTCTCATATTGTCAATACTGGGCTATCAGACATGAAGGCTCATGCTGAAGTCATTACGACGGTAAGTCTAGGAAAACACCTATTGGTGTTTATTTGGGTATGAAATTTTAAAATGGCGATTGTTGTTTTAATTTTTTATTAGGACTCAGAGAAATATATTGAGGAGTTGTTGAAATTATTTAAATTGTTTAGCGAGTTAGTCAAAGATGCTTTTGGTGACGATTCTAGATTTTTAACATCAAGAGATATAGTTAGTCTCGCCATTTTTCTTATAAAACCCTCTGTATCTATCTACCTCTATTCATCTCTCTCTTCTCTTAGGCTTATAAGAAAGTTGTTAACGATGTCTCTGTATTTAAATTGGAGCTTGGCACTAAAGGAAAGTAAGTCACATGAATATAGTCCCTGTTCTCATACAGTTCTATGTATAGAGTATCTGGTGCTTCAAAGACTCATCCGGAATCCAAGTGCCCCGAACTGTTAGCTAATTATTGTGACTTGCTACTTCGTAAGACTCCTCTCAGTAAGAAACTGACTTCTGAAGAGATTGATGAGAAACTACGGAGTGTGGTAAGGGACACTGAGAGATTGCTGTAGCAGTACAACTAATGTAAATCTTCAATGTTCTCAAGTTCAATAATTATAATCGGAATCAGCCTATTTTTAAAATGGCCATAACTTTAAAAATTGAAGTCGGAATCGGCTCAAACTTTCTACATAGCATAAGTACATCAATATGTATCTGAAAATGTAATAAAAATTGGGGGTGATTTCGGAGCCATTTTTTGGAAAAAACCATGGGCTATACTATAGCCTTGGGCATTTTTTAGAAATTGGCCTATTTCAAAATTTGGCCATAACTTGAAAAATATTTGCCAGAGTCAGCTCAAACTTTCTACATAGCATAAGTACATCAATATGTATCAGAAAATGTAATAAAAATTGGGGATGATTTCGGAGCCATTTTTTGGAAAAACCATGGGCTATAGCCTTGGGTATTTTTCAGAAATTGGCTTATTTTTATAAATGGCTATGATGCGAAAAATATTCATTGGAATCAGCTCAACATTTCTACATAGCATAAGGACATCAATCTACTTGTATAGATGCTTTAGCAGTATTGAGTGTTCTATTTTCACAACATCAATTATTTCTAATGACAATATTATTGTTGTGTTCATTTCTAGCTTCTTGTCCTCAAGTACGTCCAAAATAAAGACGTCTTCATGAGATATCACAAAACGCATTTAACGAGACGATTGATACTAGAGACATCAGCTGACAGCGAAAAGGAAGAGAACATGGTTGAATGGCTGAGGGTGAGTTCCTATCCCAACTTCACTTTTTAAATAAATCTCATTTTCCCTTTCCAAGGATGTTGGGATGCCGGCAGAGTATGTTAATAAACTCGCTCGTATGTTTCAAGACATTAAAGTCAGCGATGATCTCAACACCGAGTTCAAGGACAAGAACAAAGGCTCCGATACTGCCGGTAACGTCACTCCACTGCTACACAGTTCTTCACTATTTTATTTTTGTTTTCAGACCTTGTTAATATTAAGGTTTTAAATGCTGGTGCATGGTCGAGGAGCTCAGAGAGAGTACCAGTTTCATTACCCACCGAAGTACACACACACAATACATGTACATGTAATTATTATTTCGTTTATTGTTAGTTGGAGGACTTCATCCCCGAAGTCGAAGAGTTCTATCGTAAGAAACACAATGGGAGAAAGCTAACGTGGCATCATATCATGTCTAATGGATCGGTAACCTACCCTAGCTCTCTTCTTCTCCCTCTACCTTTTCCTTTTTCTTTAGATCACGTTTCAGAATCAAGTTGGCAAGTACGAGCTGGAGGTCACGACATTCCAAATGGCTGTACTCTTTGCCTGGAACCAAAGACCAGAAGATAAGATATCTTTTGAAAGCCTCAGGTACACGTAATTACAATATTATATTAAGATTATATCCTTATTATAGATTAGCTACAGAATTACCTGATCCTGAGCTAAGGAGGACTTTATGGGTAAGCCTATGTACATGTATATGTACATGTACATGTATATGTACATGTACATGTACATATACATGTACATGTATATGTACATATACATGTATACATGTACACTTATGCAATACATGCACATGTACTTTCTCTTCTTCTTTTATAGTCTTTGGTTGCATTTCCTAAGATGAAGCGTCAGGTGTTACTGGCAGAACCTGAAGTAGCTTCTTTTAAAGAATTTTGCGATTTGACAATGTTTTATGTCAATCAAGAATTCGGACTAGTGTGAGTGTGTCAGTCAAACAACACATACACTCTGATAATAATCATCCTCCTGCCCCCTCCCTCTCCCTCTCTCTCTCTTTAGTAAGCAAGGAAAGCTTCAAAAGCGTGGCAAGATTAATCTGATCGGTCGACTCCAGTTGACAACAGAGAAAACCAAAGAGGAAGACAATGAAGGGATAGTTCAACTAAGGATACTGAGAACACAGGTAAACCGAATGAGCAAGCTAAACCTTTAAACTGTACCCTCTTCCTATGTACCCTAACATTTCCTGTAGGAAGCTATAGTTAAAATAATGAAAATGAGAAAGAGGCTAACAAACGCGGCCCTACAAACCGAACTGGTTGAGATTCTAAAGAACATGTTCATACCTCCCAAGAAGATGATAAAGGAACAGATCGAGTGGCTCATTGAGAATAAGTACATGAAGAGAGACGAAGACAATCTCAGCACTTTTATTTATTTGGCGTAGCCGCACGCTCCTAGCCCACACCACGTATAATTATTAGCACCTAGAGGAGGTTTGGTTTCAATTTTGTGTGACTCTTTTTTTCTTCAAAAGAGTTTTGTTGTTGCGTTTTTTTGTTGGAGAGAGAATTAGGCACGAATCCTATAGTAATTTATTATTTTAAAAGATATGTTATCATGTTGAAACTAAGAAGTATTTTTATGCTTATTATTGTGCACCATGTGCCAATAATAATAATGGCATTTATTACACAGATATCACGTAATTGTAGCAAACTGAGGAATGATGAAGTTTATAAAGATCATTAACTAAAAAGCATTTGCAAACACTATAAATTTCTCTACAGCTTTTATATTGCTAGTCTACAATAGTTGTGCTTTATTAGCATGAAGGCACTAGAGGAGCTCATTTCAACTTGAGGAATTCTTCCAGGGTCTCTGTTTCAAGAGCTTCTTCAAAAGCGTCAAAATCCTATTGGATTGGAATTAGAAGAATGACAAACAAAGTGTCATTATTATACATGTCCAAACCCTCTGTCTCCCTATGCTCACCCCACAGTATGTATCTCCGTTGAAAAGTTGAGGTGGGAGTGCTTTTGGATCACCAATTATTCCTCTCATTTTGTCCCTGAGGTCAGTGTCGGCAGCAACGTCAAGCTTGTTGTATGGTATCTTCTTTGAGTCTAGTATCATCTCTATCTTTTGCTGGTTCTTTTTCAACTAATGATGATAATAATAATAATGCAAGCAAATCAATTTACAACATTAATAGTTCACATATAAACACTTTAAAGGTAAAAGGGTATAATTGGGACTAGGTTACAACTCTGATGGATTTAGCATAGAAAAAGGCATACCTCTAAGTTGCTGGATACGCTGGAGTAGTAATAGTTGACTGCTGCCATGGCTAAGAGAAAAAAGAAACGAGCAAAGCAATCAAATTAGTGAAATTACAACCACAGAAAGGAACAACAGGTCTCTGGGCGTGGCCTCAATGAGCCACACCCTAGATACACACGTGCGCTATGATATTTTATCAGACTCCTGTTTCTTTTTACAGATGAATTTTTTTAAAGGCAAAATTTTAATTGTATTCAAAATATCTTTTTAAAATTTTGCAAATAGTAGACAAGCATTCTTTTAAGAGAGAGGGCAAGAATCTTCCAAGAAAGAGCATTTTATGTATGGAAAGGGTTTGATTGTTTTAACAGCTTGTTTGAATTTGCAAATTGAACACAATTCGAGTTGCACTGCACAAAATTCTGAAATTTGAAGCTAAAAAGTTAAAGACAAAGTTATGATTTCCAGCCACGCCCTATTATAGTAGAAATGGCGTCTTTCTTTCAAGGAGGTGGTCGTGTAGTTGCTGTATTCTTGAGGCGTGGAGCTCAGACTCCATTGCGTACTCAGTCTAGGAGGTTTAGTCCAATGGCATGGTACAACAGTCAGTTGGAAAAGGCGCCTGTCATTACTAAAAGCATCACTTCTGGGAGTAAGTGACTGCCATAGATAGTCTTGCAACTCGTGCAACCCCTTTTCCTCTTTTTCCCCCTTTTCTTAGTTTTGTTTGGTCTGGGGGATGTGATAGGCCAATTCATATTACCGGAGGAAAATGGAAAGCTCAATTTTGCTGTAGGTTCCTTCATCATGTGTGCAACCAAAGATGCCTACATTTGTCAGTGTTTTAATCCTCCATTTTTTCCTTTTCTTTCAGAGAGTTGGAAGGGCTGCTGTGTTTGGTTCATTAATATTGGGACCGTTAGCTCATTTGCACTTTAATTTTTTGGAGTACATGGTTGTCAAAAGGGTTCGTCAACCTGATAACTTGCATCTTAGTTTTAACTCTCTCCACGTATAGCTTGCACTCACTGGTACCAGAATGGCTTTCCTTAAGATGTTTTTTGATCAATTTACTTACTGGGCAATCAGCATCAATACCATATATCTATTCACGTAAGCCTTGCTTGATTTTTGATTAAGGATTAATTATTGGCTCCTTAATAGTTTACCTAAACTAGAGGGTAAGACGAATGATCAAGCCATGGACAATGTGAGAGCAAGGATATGGCCAACAATGAAGGCCAACTGGTGCCTTTGGCCCATTGCACAGGTAAATAGCTAAATCCATGCTATCACATGATCGTCACATGGTCTTGCATGTAGTTGATTAATTTCAAGCTCATACCAGTTGCTCATCAATTGAACTTTGTACTTATCGTGAGTTTGGGCTGGGCTTCATACTTGAGTTTTGCTGGAGGTAAAATGCAAAAGGAATAGCTGGTTGCAAACCGGCATCAATAACTTTATTAATTTTTGTGATTTTGCTACAATTTATTAATTTTAATTACTATGAACAATGATATCATTTATGCAATTATTTTATTATAATTTGATTACTATTATTATTATTCTTGATTATTGTTATCCTTTTTCAACTGACACCAAAATATTTCTGTCCAAAGTGGTTGGGACAGAATTCGTGTACTTCAGACGTTAGCATTGTTATTTCAGGATATTTCTTTAAAAGACTTTCCACACCTGACGTAAGGAAAGGAAACAAATGCAGAGTGTAGAAGGAAACAGTTGGTTACTTAAAAGTATAAATACATTAACAGAATTTATTATACAATATTATGCTAACCTTTAAATGAGGAAAACAAATTAACAAAAACTATATTCTTTTCTTGTACTCCGTGATCCTTGAGCACTTTAACGGCTGCTTTCACAGTTGCTCCTGTCTCTATAGATGCCAAGTTTAACATAATTGGTAATAAATATATGCCTAACCTAGAACCGGGTATAGCAATAAAACTGTTCTGTGTTCTATTTTTGAGGGGAATTTCGCATAGTAAACCTAAAAACAGTCTTTTTGTTATCATCATCACATGATAGTTTAATGAGACTTGCCCTTGCAACATTAGTATCTGTATCTCTCTTTATCAATATCTTTCCAATGCATATTGATCTGAAGCAATCTCTCATTCCTTTCTCCATTGCTTCCCCTATTAATCGCTAATGCATGGATCATACAGTTTTAAAAAGTTGCCTCACCACTTCGAACAATACTGACCGCACACGTCATCTTCTCAAACTTGACTCCAGTATATTTCATGCCTTCAAAGTCCAAAATGCAATTCATGTTTTGTTTTTTGCATTGTGTACCTGTTGGTGTTGTCACAGTGCATTCATAGGTGGGTATGCAGTCTAAACCTTGCTCAACCACAATTCTGATCTAAAGTATAAATACCATTCAATAAACTATGTATAACATTGTAATTTTACCAAGCGATCGGCACAAAAAATAAATTCATTACGAGTAGTCGACCTACAAAAATCCACAATTAATTTACCCATACAATTTTAACTACTAATATAATTATTATTATATCACGTGAATGACACATCTTTCTTTTCTCACTTGTTCCTTATTATCGTTTGTAACTCTCTTATCTGTCCGTGACATTCCAGCAGCTTTAAATTAGGGAAAGAGAGTATTGAGGACTTGTATGCCTCGTCCATATTCCCGGCCATAGTCAAGAGAGCATTTTTAGGAGAGAGACTGGGGCTTGTCTCCGCACTACTTATGCATTCCTCCTCTTCCTCTTGCTGCTCCATGCTCTTGTGTGCGTGGGCGTTCAAATGACTCCGCCTACAAGTCAGCCACACCTTTTCTGGCTTTTGCAAAAGAATTTTAAGGACGGTTTAATAACGGATGCAAGTCACAACAACTTTAGTTTGGTAATGGTTCTATTTAACATTAAAATATTTGTTTGAGTCATCGGGGAACCCATTTGTGCCGTTACAAGGTGAACTATTTGTTGTGGGTAAGACAAGCTGAGCTGACCATGTTCTCAGTTGGATCAGTTTACAACCTGCTGGGGGGCTGGGGGTAGTCTATATGGTAACTGTATCTCTAAATGCAACACAAGCTTTGCAATATAATACACTCTATATAATAACAAGACACCTGGTTCTCATTATAACTAACTAGTAGTTAGCTGTCCTTGGATCTCAACAGCTGTAGACTACTAACTTCTGCAGATAGCCTGGACTGATCATAGGACTAATAGACTGCAAACTAATGTCTGCAGAAACAGTTATTCCATACTGCAGTGGCCAGTACTTTTTATTCTAAATTTAACTGTTTGTTGCCAGCATTACATGCTGAAAATAGTTCACTTCTCTTTACTCATGAATGGTAAGCATGTAGAACATCTAGATCTAAGCTCCTCCTTTGGGATGGATCTTCCTGTGGTTCGTTAAGTGAGAAAATCTCTCTCTCTCTTTCTATCAATACTTCTGTTTCTCTACCTCTCGACCTCTTTCCTAGTTTTAGAACACAGTGTTCCCTACCTTCAACTGACAATACAGCATCAAGAAGGCTACAAAGTCTGCGGTCAGGCGACAAGTAGAAAACGGCCGCAATATTTGCAGACGACGAAAATAATTAATGACAACAATTTTGCCACCACCTCCTCCGCTGTTTCTTCTTTATCTTCTCCTACACTAAAGGCCAAGACGAATACTTCCACCATTATGCCACTGGCCCAGTCTCACCCATGGCAGACCATGAAATTTAAGGAAGAAGAAGTGAACAGCCAAGAAGTAAGAAACATGCACTCATAATTAATGATTATGTAAGAAGAGAGTTTGAAAAGAGATAGAGATGTAGGAGTGAGAGGAGGAGGAGGAGGAAGGAGTGGGATACTCAGTAAACAGAAAGCTTTGTCTTTATAGTTGAGAGAGAGAGAGAGAAAGTCTGTTTGAGACAGTAAGTGAGGAAGACAGAGGCCATTTCAAGTTGACAGTGCCTTTTAATTGTTTGTGTGTGTGTGTCAGTAGTGTTGTTTAAACTATATATATCATGAAAGCCAGTCTGATGGATATTGGAAGTATTAGTACACAAAGTTTGGCTGAGAGAGACAGGGAAATACTAGCTTCATCTTCTCTCTCTACTTCTCACTCTTGCCACACACAGGTTGAAGATATGGTCACTGATCAGCAACAGGCTGGAGCACCAGGAGGTCCATCTTCAAATAGCACAGTAAGTATGAAAGTAAAAGAAACAGTGAATTATAGTTGTGGTTGTATTTCTGAGGGCTTTAGCTTATCAGTATTTCATTAATCAGATTTATCTTGATATGATACATGTACTTAAAGTATTTTTTATAAAAAGTATTTTTTATAAAAAGTCTTGACCTTCTTAAATTGCATTGATACCAATACTTTATGAACTCTTAGCCTCTCTTCCTTCTGCTTACTCAATCATCTTTTACTACTACATGTTACCTCCACTTTTGATACTCTACTCAAAGTCCAATCATGCACTTCCTTCTTTTCTTTCCTGACAGGAAACTGAGATAAACCTGGCTCATGCAGTTGAGAGAGGCAGCCTGCCAAAAGCCGACCCATCACAGTTTGAATTAGTTAAAGTGTTGGGCCAAGGATCATTTGGGAAGGTATGTATGTGAGACTCAGTGACAGCTGTCTCTGAGTACTGTTTAACTACATGTACATGTACATGTACATTATGTACGTGCATATAATAGCCAGCATAGTATGTACATGTAATACTCTGTCAGTGATGTGTAGTATTGTGTGTATTAATTAATTAATTGATGGTATATTGGCATGATATGTATGTGTATACGTGTAGCTGTGAGTGAGAGAAAGGGAGAGAGTGTCTGTATTTGTCTCTGTGTGTGTGTGTGGGAGTTTAGTATGGTATGAGCTATGAAGGACATCACTTAGAGACAAGTACATAACAGTGATATCATTTTATGATTCTCTCACACACCTCTCTCTCTCTCTCTCTCTCTCTCTCTTTCTCTCTCTTTCATTTCCTTGTCTCTTTTCTTTATTCATTTTTCCTGTCATCTCTCTCTTTCTCTTTTACTTCCTTCTCTTAGGTATTTTTAGTAAGAAGACTGGTAGGACATGATGCTGGTAAGCTCTATGCTATGAAAGTATTGAAGAAAGCGACGCTCAAAGTTCGTGACAGAATAAGAACAAAAATGGAGCGAGATATACTAGCTGATGTCCGTCATCCTTTTGTGGTAGCTTTAGAATACGGTCAGTGGTAGTAGTAATAGTAATATGTTCAGCGTTTATTGTTCTTGTTGTTGTGATTAATTATTTATTATAGAATGACGATATATCTGTTTTGCACAGTTGTAGATCCCAGCTGTTGCTATTTTTGAAAACATTAATGTATACTCTCAATTGAAATACCTTCCCCTGATTTCTTTCTCTTCATTTTAATAAAATGTCGTATTTATAGCTTGAGCTAATGATTGTTGACATTTTTAATCATGTTGTTTACACGTGCATCTTGAATTCATTTGTTTATATTATCAATGATTCATTTTTGTTGTTTATGTCAATAGCCTTTCAAACCGAGGGAAAGCTATACTTAGTTTTGGAATTTCTTCGAGGTGGAGACCTTTTTACACGTTTATCCAAAGAGGTTTGTGGCATTGAGTAAACAAAGGAGAGTAATTGATAATTATTGTTGTGATAATGTGTGTGTGAGTCCTGCTTCAATTGAAGCGGTTTACATCTTTCTCTCTATTGTCTCCCTCTCTTTCTCTTTTTGTCTCTCTCTCTCTCTCTCTCTCCCCCTCACTACCTCTCCCCCCTCTCTCTCTCTTTCTCTCTCTCTCCAGGTCATGTTCACAGAAGAGGATGTCAAGTTTTATTTGGCTGAATTGGCACTGGCCCTTCACCACTTGCATGGACTGGGTATTGTGTACAGAGACTTGAAACCAGAGAAGTAAGAGGAGAACAAGAAAGGGAGAGAGGTGGAAGTGAATGAGGAATGAGTGATCATACTTGTGTGATATGATAGGAAGGCAGCAGATACTCATTGAAACTATAGGCAGTCAAAACAACCATTAAGAATTTAATGGTTGTGGCATCATCTGGTGTGATGTCACTAAGTGTCTGTGGTTATACCAAGAGTACGAGGTATTTTGTACTCTTGGTTATACAGAATGACCCCTTGTGTTTACGGTGTGTGTCAATATTGCTGTTATTATCACGTAAATGAATTTTTTAATGTGTGAATATTTTAGTTTTCTCCCCTCCCTCTCTCTCTCTCTTTTAACACTCATCTATGTGAATCTCTTCCTTTTTCTTAGTATTTTGTTAGATGCGGATGGACACATTAAACTGACAGGTATGCATAGTAAATGCACATAATTCATTGGGGCTACTCATACATCCATTCACTTTGTTATACGCGAAATTAATAGGAGGCGTGGTGGTTAAATTGTTTAATAGTAGTGGGACGATAATCACTAATTACTGTCAAGCCTTTTAAAGACGTGGAATAATTAGTGGGACTGTTGTTAATGTCCTTATAAACTGGTCAAACCAGATAAGAACTGGTTGTTTCAAGCATCAGTGCATGTACATGTAGCCTGACCTCATCAAGCCTATATACTGTACATGATACTCAAGGCATTAATTATTATTGTGTCTAATTTAATTTATTTTAAATGTTTGCACACACGACAACAGATTTTGGTCTCAGCAAGGAGTCAGTGGATGATAAGAAGACTTTTTCATTCTGTGGTACGGTGGAGTACATGGCGCCAGAGGTCGTCAACAGGAAAGGTCACGATATAACGGCCGATTGGTGGTCATTCGGAGTGTTAATGGTCAGTACACCGGAACACTGGCTCTTTCTTGTTTGTTTTTTTTATATTTGCTATAATGGCCCATTGTTGGAGCTTTTATTTGAATAACTATTTCATTTCTGTGCCAAATTTGTTTGTGTGTGACATGATGATTATTTTTTCTTCCTTTATCTTCTTTTAGTATGAGATGTTAACTGGGTCTCTGCCTTTTCAAGGCGAGAATAGGAAAGCAACCATGAACATGATATTAAAGTAAGAAAGAATTATTTTACTGGTTTTTTTTACAAATGCATGCTAAGTGAGCTTAAAGGCATACTTTATGAGTACATGGCATTTAGAGCAACTTTAAAAATTCATTGAAAATCTAGATTTGATTGGAATCGCCTCAAACTTTCTACACAGCATAAAAACATGTATATGTATCATAAAAGATTATAAAAATGAAAAATTCTCACCTAGTCATTTTTGGCAAAATTTGGCCAACGACCCTGTACTATAGTACAGGGACTTTGGCCTGATTTTTGAGTAACTTTTAAAAATTCGTTAAAAATTCAAATTTGATGAAAATTAGCTCAAACTTTGTACACAACCTAAAAACATGTATATGTATCAGAAAAAAAATATAAAAATGGAAAATTTTTGTACATGTATTTTTGACAAAATACATGTACATGCACCTTGTACTACAGCCCATGTAGAAATTTTGAGCTATAAACTAATTGAATCTTTGAATGACTATAAATTTTATTATTTTTTGTTTTTACTTGCAGAGCTAAGTTGGGTATGCCACAGTTCCTGTCACCTGAGGCTCAGTCTCTCCTTAGAGTACTCTTCAAACGTAACCCTCTCAATCGCCTGGGCTATGGAACCAATGGGATTGATAATATAAAGGCACATCCTTTCTTTAAGAGCATCAACTGGGACGTAAGTGAAGAGATGAGAAACGCTGATTTACGTTTTACATGTGTACATGTACATGTGCATGTACATCACTTGTCGTCATGTAGAAACTGTACAAACGAGAAGTGATGCCACCTTTCAAGCCGGCCTGTGGAAGTGCCGACGATGCATTTTATTTTGATTCGGAATTCACATCACGAACCCCGAAAGGTCAGCATTTAATTAATCGATTAATTAATTGATTGATTGTGATTTTGACCACGCCCCACAGACTCTCCAGGTGCTCCAGTCAGTGCTCATTCTAAGGAACTCTTCCGTGGGTTTAGCTACGTTGCACCTTTATTAGGAATGGAGGTTAGGAGGAACCACACACATAATAGTCTTTTCTATGAATGTAGTACATGTACATTGTATGTACCTAATCCATTTATTAGGTTGATGATCCCAGTAGTAGTTCTAATGGTATTAAAGTTAAATCAGGTGCAGCTGGGGTTGCTAGTGCCCACATGTCAACTGTAAGTATATATTTTGATATTTTACAAGTTTTTATTAAATTTTTGTATGCTTTTCTCCTCCTCCTCTGTCTTTACTTAGCTGGGTTCACCGTTACCAGTAAGAACTACTGCCATTAATGATGACTATGACATTAAGGAGGTATGTGAACTATTAATATGGATATATGACTACGTATGGATGCGCGTATTTGTGTACTGATTCTTTGCTTGTTTTTGTTTATAAGAAGACAGTAAGCCTTGCCAATACTCCTCTTCATTTCTGTTCTTTTGTTTAACTTTCTCACCTCATGCACTTTCCTCTCTCTCTCTCTCTCTCTCCCTCTCCCTCTCCCTCTCTCTCCCTCTCCCTCTTCCTCTAGGATATGTTAGGCTATGGCTCTTACTCCAGGTGCGTTAGGTGCATTCACAGAGCAACCAATCAGGAGTTTGCCGTCAAAATAATATCAAAAGAGAAGTCAACACGCGATGTTGATGAAGAGATTGAGGTACAGCTCAATTTGTATGTTATGCTATTTCTGTGTCTGTGAGCTCATAATCCAATTAGTCATCTTAATAGCATAAAGATGACATGTACATGTAGTCATGTATCCAATAGTGGTGAAGAATTTTGTGGTCTACATTGTGCATTTTTGTCATAGTTGTAGGGATTTTATTTTAATTATTTTATGTTTGTAGATTCTTCTTCGCTATGCTCCACAGCACGAGAACATCATTAAACTGAGAGATGTAAGAGATACTGATGCTCATATACAAATATTAATTGTGTCTTCATTCTCTTTTCTTTCTTCTCTCTTACACTATTCTTCTTTTCCTCTTTGTATATTTCTTTTTGTCCTATTTTCTGCCTTCTACTCTCACCATGCAGGTATATGATGACGGTACTTATATCTACATGGTGATGGAGCTGATGAGAGGCGGTGAGCTTTTGGATAAGATCATCAGCCAAAAGTTCTTCTCTGAAAAAGAGGCAGCCGCTGTTCTGGCCATATTGGTAATTATAGCCCCTTATCTCTTAAAATGTTACTTATGTGTAAATGTTCCTTTTTTTTCTCTTATGTCTAGACTGATACAGTTAGTTATCTTCATCTGAAAGGTGTTGTTCATCGTGACCTCAAGCCCTCCAATATTCTATATGCCGATCCCTCTTGCTCGCCTCGCTCACTCAGGATAGCTGATTTTGGTTTTGCTAAGCAGCTCCGGGCGGAGAACGGTCTCCTTATGACGCCTTGTTATACCGCCAACTATGTTGCACCTGAAGTCCTTAAGAAACAAGGATACGATGCCGCCATTGATATATGGAGCTTAGGAGTATTACTGTACACAATGCTCGCTGGGTATGCATACCCTATTGTATTATGTACATGTACATGTACATGTACATGTATTGTATATGTATGTACATGTATACATTGTATGTAGATGTACATGTATTGTATTGTATTATGTATACATTGTGTGTAGGTGTACATGTATACCTACATGTACTTTACTATTTTTTATTCTTTTTCTCTCTCTTTTTCTAGTGAGTGTCCATTTGCAGCAGGTCCTGATGATGGCCCCGATAAGATTCTCTCGAGGATCAGCGAAGGTAAAATCAATTTGACCGGCGGGAACTGGGACACAGTCTCGGCTGCTGCCAAGGACCTTGTACTACGAATGCTTCACGTTGATCCACAGCAACGCTGCACTGCTGCTCAGGTAGAAATGAGAGAGAGATTGAGTGAGGATTATAGCCTTGGCTTATTATTATTATTATTATTATTATTATTATTATTATTATTATTATTATTATTATTATTATTATTATTATTATTAAAATAGTTATATATTATTATTAATAGATTTTACAGCATCCATGGATCACTTCCAGGGATTCGTTACCAGACCATAAACTATCTTTTAAAGGAACTCAAATCAAGGTTTGTTTTATATACAATATTTTTTGAACTTGTTTACTTGCTCTCGTGTTTTTTTACGATCATGTTTTAGGGTGCCCTGGCAGCAACATTCTTTGCTCTTAATCAACCGCCCTCGGCTAAATTGGAACCAGTTTCAAATTCTTCTATGCTGCAGCGACGCAAGAAAGTAGAGTCGTCTTCTTCAAATATGTCATAAGAGGTAGCACTAATAGCTGTAGAACTGTCTCTTCTCTTCTTCTTTCAATTATATCTTCAAAAACTACTTAACTATCATTTTCAGTAATTTTACATGTACTGTATTTTATTATTATTATTATTATTATTATTATTATTATTATCTCAAGTTAATTATAGTTTTAGCATATTTTGTGTGCGTTTTTGTGTGTAGAATTTTAACGTTTAATTTCATGGACTTCTAATAATCAAACTATATTTTTGTTATTTTATTGTTATTATTATTATTATTATTATTAATTATTATTATTTAATTTATTTTTCACCATTCATTCCATTGAAAAAAATTAATTATTTCTAATTAATGAGCAAACAGCTTTAGAGGGCGTGCGGGTTAAAATTACACCAGCAATGTCGCAGCAAGGAAGAGTAAGTGTAAAATCCTCTAGAGCCTTCTTTACTGACTTATTTCTAGCAATCCGACTCTAAGAAAGAAGAATTCCGTCGCTATTTAGAAAAAGCCGGAGTCTTAGATGCCTTTACTAAAGGTCAGATCCTTCACTTTTTGTTCATTTCTCTATTTCAGTCCTCGTCTCTCTCTCTCCTCTCAACAGCTCTTGTAGGCTTATATGAAGAACCAGACAAGCCAGCAGATGCGATGGAGTAAGTTAAAACCGGTTTAAGTCTTTGTGTATTCTGACAGCTGGAGAGCATGCAGGCTAGACTGTAGCTGTCATTGAAATGATAATAATTATATTAGTTATATTATGTATAATGGCGCTTACTTGTGCTTACTTTTAGGTTTGTTAAAAGACAGCTTCATGGGGGCCCACCGGAGCCAATAAACATGGACGCCCTTAAACAAGAGATCCAGGACCTGAGAATGAGGAACCAGCAGTTGGAAGAAGAGAATGAAATGCTAAAGTCACAGGTAACTTGTACAGGGACTTTGGCCCGATTTTTGAGCAAGTTAAAAAATTCGTAAAAAATCCAAATTTGATCGGAATCATTTCAAACTTGAAATGCAACATAAGAACATGTATACGTATCAGGAAAAAATATAAAAATAGAGAATTCTCTCCTAGTCATTTTTGGCAAAATTTGGCCTGCGACCCTGTACTATAAGTACAGGAATGTTGGCCCAATTTTTGAGTAACTTTAAAAAATTCATAAAAAATTTAATTTTGATTGGAATCAGCTCAAATTTTCTACACAGTATGAGAACATGTATATGCATCAGAAAAAATTATAAAAATCGAAAATTCTCTTCTAGTCATTTTTGGCAAAATTTGGCCTGCGACCCTGTACTATAGTACAGGGACTTTGGCCCAATTTTTGAGCAAGTTTAAAAATTTGTAATAAATTCAAGTTTGATTGGAATCAGCTCAAACTTGAAATGCAACATAAGAATGTGTATATGCATTAGAAAAAATTATAAAAATGCAGATTTCTCTCATAGTCATTTTTGGCAAAATTTGGCCAAAGAGCCTGTACTATAGTACAGGGACTTTGGCATGATTTTTGAGCAAGTTTAATAATTCATAAAAATCCGGAATAAGCTCAATCTTTCCATACAGCATAAGTACATGTATATATATATCAGAACAGTATTACTATTACCTCATGTCTGCATTTTAATTAGTTTTATTATACCTTTACTGTAAATAATTTCCTCCTTTTTTCCTTTCCTATAAACTTTAGCTTCTGAAGTATGAATCTGAAGAACAGGCACCTGCCACCAGTTAACTAACAGCACTCCAGTAACTACACTTTAGGACTATTCACTGACTAACTCTTTCACTCTCTTGCATATCACGTATAACATATTTACTGCTCAGCAGTGTTATGCTACACTTCTATAACTATTTTTAATTATATTAAACTTTAAAGTATTACATTAAATATTTTAATGATGGACAAGGTTGGAGCACGCTGCTGACAGCTTTGAATAACAAAGAAATTAATTAGGTTTATTTAAAGTATTTTCTTGCAAATAATCAATTTGTTGAAACTTTGTAGTTCGTCCTTTATAGCAATTGGGGGCTGAACCTGAGCTAGCTCCACTAAATTGAGAATATAGTTGGTACACGTTCATCATGATGAGTCATGTGTAGCTAAAAAAGCATGCAGAAGAGGACAAATATATTATATCAATTCTGTCAAAAATATATTTATATGCGAAGCCAGATAGATGATCATAGATTAAAAGTCTGTATAAAGAAGTTCAGATTATATCATGTTAAACTTTGTACACTTTGCACTTGTCTTAGCTTTGATGCCCATGATCAAAGGACTACTGAAAAGAAGTATTGATCAACATTTTGATAACATTGGAAAAGATCAAAGGGATATTGTTTGCTTAAAGGAATGAGTTTATAATAGAATAGGATTTTGTCCAAAATGGGTTGCATATGCATGTACATGTACATTTCATCAATCCCAGTACATGTTTATTCTATTGCTCTATTTTCCTCGTGCATACATACACACTGATTAACATAATGTATTCAACAAGAATCATGATGCTTGCTTGAAGTGATGAACAAGTTTGGGAAGCATTGCCTCTAGTGTCACCATGAGATGCTGTGTAGTGCTTTCCTACAGACTAACTTGTCATCTTCTCATTAACAGTTTTACCTACTGATTACTTTACCAGCTGTCAACAATACTCTGAACTCTTGACTTTATCACTTCCCTCTTCCTTTCTCTCAGACAGTGACACATAGACGCACCACTAAAGTCATTGTTTTTGTTTCAGGATAATGTTGATGCTAGAACATTTGTGATTGGTTAGTACTGTCTGTACCCACACTTGCAGTATCAAGTCAACATATGCAATCAACAATTCCATTTATAACAATAATAATAATAATAATAATAATAATAATTGAAAAATAATTTTTGTTGTGAAGTCAATACATGTATATATTAACATTTTTAGTACTACAAATGAAATATGAAAAGTTACTACTAATAATTATTATTATTATTAAGAGTTAACAGTTGAAAATGACCTCACATGTTTTGTCATGGTTGGCTCTTGATCATTTTTACCAGAGGAACCGTTGCTACAGCAACTGTTACCAAGGGAACGCCAAGAATCCAATGTTTTCTTTGACCATATCCAGACTCCTGTGAGTATCCCAATCATTAAAAACATGAAAATCCTAATGATAAATACAATAGGACTAGCTTTCTGACAGCCTCCATCGGAACAGGACTCTGCTTCATTCAAAGTCACCCAGTCTGGGACTTTAGCTAATTCGTAAATATAACAAGATATGACAGCTCCCGCTGGCAGTACATAGACGGCAACAAATATACCGATACGAAACATGAGCTTCTCCAAGACAATGCTTTCCTTTTGTCTTCCTTTGTTGTGTAGGAATCGACGTATCCTAAAAACACTAATGAGTCCTATAATGAGAAATAGTAGACCAATGGATAGGAAGAGAAGTAGCGGTATTATGACTCCTATTAGTAAGCCAAAGAGAGTCGCGTTTGAATCATCACGGACTATGAAACAAGTGCCGGTTAGCTCATCAGCGGATATAACCTGAGCAGCTACAAGACTGATCATCATCAGGAGGGGGACAACCCAAGCGGTTACATGAAAGAAAGGAGCCAAGCGGCCAACAGACTCGTTACTCCATTTAAACACGGCAGAGAGAAACCAGGAGAGAGTGAGCGCCAGCCACCACAAGAAAGCAGAGACCATCGAATAGTAGAGTAGCCCAAAATTGAGCAGGCATGGGATGTGACTCCAGCTCCATTTTGAAGATGAGGAGATGTAATTATTACCAGGACAAGTTATTATCCCTCGGCCTAGAGCAAGAGAAAAGAAATAGCCAAGAGAGTGGATGTTGAAGCAGAGAGCTAAGAAAATTATTGGCCGCCATGGATACTCAAAACGAGAGGGTTTAATGACAAATGTTAGTAGAGTAAGCGATGTTGACAGAAAACATAAAGTTGACCATGTTGCTATCCATCCTTTAGTGAATGATTTCATACCGTCGGTGTAGTAGGAAGAAGAAGGAGGGGGACAACCCACGGAGCTCTCATTGGTGCTTGGGGTAGTGGAAGGAGTTTGAGAAGGAAGTGGTGTTGATATGACTACAATAGATGATGTACTACTGGAGCTACTGGTTGGCTCAATGCTGATGGGTTGTATGCAAGGGCTATTTGGCTCATATCTATAGTAGAGTAGGAAGAGAAGTAGGGATGTATTGAATAAAACAACAAAATAAGAAATCTACATAAACGTACCTTGTGCAGTTAAATATCCAACTTACAGTACTCGGCAAGAATGGAAGAGTGTTTGAGCAGTCTTGTCTTATTTTCTTACAAAAGCTGGAGCAAGGTCCATAACCAGAGTCGCAGCTAGGGAAAAATGCTGCGCAAATAAACCCGGACCTATCAGCATTCGAGGAACAAGACCTTAGAGAACTATCCAGTGCGTTTACTAGTGTAACTACTTCAGATATCTCTGTGGTCTCGTTTATAACCTGGTTAGGATAGATAGAAAGGTTCCGTAGTGTATAGTTGTAGTTACATGTAGCCTCTTGGATCAGGGAGGTGCGGGAGGAGCACTGTCCTGTTACACGCGGAGTATAAAAAATAAAAAAGAAAGAAACCAAATAGAGACTGTAAAAGAAGGACATGACTTTAGAAAGACTGAGAGCAGACGTCGAGTGGTTTTAAAGAAAGAACAGCAACTTTTGTTATTACGAAAGTGTTTTAAGTAGCGGCGGCAGTGCGGCGCAGCTGAGAGGCGGGGCTCGTTAGTGGGTGGAGTATCTCCTCCCACTACACTCAGAATTATAATGGGGGCAATATTCTCTCGTCCTTCCCAATGGATAGTTCTAGAGGACGACTGCTATGACGTTGGACACACCTGGTCTGCATCATGCACGTACAGTTCACTGGAGCTCTTCACCATAGTCTTCTTGCAAGCAGCAAAAATCTACTTGCCACTCTACATAGTAAGACCACGCCTCAACCACGCCCATAATTAGCATAATTTTTCAGTTTGGGGACATTGTTAGAAGAAAGTCTTTAAAGTTTTTTTTGACTCGTACGATTTGGTATGTCCTTAGATCGTCTATTTTCCTTGGCATCAACGGAGGAGGTTTTGTCACATTTATATGTTTATTAAGGTAAGAACCTTTATATAATTATTTGAATATAAACGTAATACAGCTGCTGGAAATTTAATATGCAGTTTGTAATGACAATATAATTTCTGTGTAAAGAAAAAGACACATGGCTCCTTTTCCTTAAAACATGTTTACATACATGATATTGGACAGTCTTGTTTGCTTAATGCCAAAAAAATTAACAAACCATACCAGCTTTAAAACTACATTACTTATGTAGATTTTTATTACTTATTATTATTACTGACTGTTTGCAATGCAGGAAACTCTTTGGTCGGTTTTATTTCCTGTCTGCTGGTTATCTTCCTGGACTATGCTCATCTCTCTGTGCCATATTGACAGAAAGGAAAAGCAGGTACATACGATTTACATTATTATTATTATTATCATGCATGAAGTTATAATTAATAATATCCTCTATTTAACTACCCACATCATGTACTTATTATATTGTCATGTACTGAAGCTTTCATGTTCTATGACCACACTATTGTGGTTTGGAACAGATTCAACTACATTGTATAACACATCAATAAAACAATGTTTCATGTCATCTTTGTGTTTAATATCCTTTTGCTATCTGTATACCATTAGATCCAGGTCATATTTATAGTATAGGTCATAGTATTATTATTTCCTGTGCATATATACATGTAACTAATATTGATTAATCACTGAACTGTATCTGAGGTCATGCACTTCTAAAGAATATCATGAGTTGATTAAAGCATTAGGTGTCCTCATTTATCATAATTAGGAGAGGAAATCTCAGCACCTACGTTGCAACCATTGTAAGTTATTGGTGTGTGTTGTTGGTCTGTGATCTTGTTCACATGACAGTCATGTGATTTCAGGCACTGGAGACACTGTACAGACTGATGAAGCACAGAGGATATGTCCAGCCATTACCTTATGGTGAAGTAAGTGGTGACTCCACCCTCTCTATATATCTATTATAGTAGCTGTTATGTATATGTATTATTATTATTATTATTATTATTATTATTATTGTAATTGTTATTATTATTATTATTATTATTATTATTTTTGTGATAGGTTATGTTATTCTGTTTTGGATCTGCAGTGCTCTTTCATAGCTATAAGTAAGAGAGAAAGAATGGAGGAGGAGGATAGAAAGATGGCTAGATCGAATAAGTTTGAGAGAGGGAGATCAAAGTGTCGCATAATTACAAGTTATGTCTTTGTTCCTTTTTAGATCAAAGGCGGCTGCATCAAGCCTTACAGATTTTCTAATAGGGTAAGCATTTTAATTGACCACTAATTATAATCACGATATCAAAGTGGTAATGGATGGGAGGTACTCCACTGTATGCTCATCATTATGTCATCAGTGCCTCACACATGCATGTTTCTTCAAATAAGGTCTCTCTGTCTCTTTCTTTGATCTGTTTGTTTAGAATACTATTTAAACCAAAAATACCTCACAAGTTCAGGAAGGCTCTCCCAGGAAGGTTAGTATAGCTTCTATTTTTACTGTATTTCATTAATAATAAAAATATAATATTATTTTATTTTTAGACCAGGGATTGTTCATGATGTATTAATGTTCATTGCCAATACTACATTAGTAAGTCAGTTACACTGTTTTATATTCTACCAAATTGCTCACAGTTTATTTTTAAGAAAGTATTAGTTTTGCGTCGATCAAAATGCAAACTATTTTTATTAAATTTATGTATTTAAAAAAATCTTTTCTACAGGTTAGTTTATGGAGCTTTGGTTTAGGATATGCTATGCAGACTGTTCTAAATGCATTACAGCTAGGAATGAGAATTATAAAGAATCCTGGTAATCATCATCCTGTCTCACTTCTCTTCTCTACTCCAATGGGAGAATTCTCCATTTTAAATCTTCTCATAATTCATATGCATGTTCTAATGCAACATGTAAAGAGTTAAGATTTTTATAAATATTCTTTTTTTAAAGCAGCAAGAATAAAGCAAGTCCTTACAAAGCCGTACAACAGACACTTTAGTTCTTTTGTTGCGTCCTTTGCAGCATCATTCAAAGTCTGTTCTCACACACACGACCTTTAAACTCACAATCATCTCTTCAATAGATCATTAATGCACTTCTTCGTCTTCTCTCTGTACCAAGGGATGTCAGACTATATTTATCAGGTATGGGTAGAGTATGTGTAGTTGTTAATCTTTTCTTTTCAGGCTTCTTTGCTGGTCTATCAATGTTATTCATTAGGAGTAATGCTATGTCTCTATACGTGTTTGTGAAAGCATTAGAAGTACGTAAATACAGTCAAGTGTAGCAATGATAATATTTATATTAAATGTTGTAGCACCCATTACCTCATAAGTACAGAGAGAGAGAGAGAGAGAGAGTAGCCTCTCTGTCTATAGCTTTGATTATAGTATTATCATCATTAGTAACGCGGTAGCGTTACTAAGTAGGATTCACCCCCAAACAAAATGGCTGCCACTACTTTTGCAGCCTTGCTATACTGGGAAAATGAGTTATTATTGTGTCTCTCTTTCTTTTTGAAGATACTTTACTTCAGAGGGGTGAGGGCTGGCTGGCTCTGGAGTCATTACTATGGTGATGTTGTGATATACTCCATCAGTACTGCAATGCTGTTCCACTCAGTAAGAGAGAGGAGGGAGAGAGAGAGAGATGATACTAGATCAGTGAGAGACTTAAACTTAATTTTTTTCTAGGCATTATTTGAAGCACATAATCTTAGACTTAGTTACTGGAGATTCATTGACAGGGTAACAGGACAAAGGTAGGTACACACACACACACACACACACTGTCTAAATCCTCTTCTCTCTCCCTTATAGATTAAGAGACCTTAATTATGATATAATCGATGAGTATCAGACGGACTCATCTCAACTCCTTCATATAATTGAGGCACAGGAGCAGCAGGAGAGACGACAACAAATGCAGCGAGAAAATAGAACAAGAGGAGGAGAGAGAACTACTAGTTGATAGACCCAATCTTAGCTCAATTATTAATGCATGTACATATATATTTTGTCTATCATTGTGTGGTAATCCTTTTTCTGTTTCTGTTTTGCTTTTTCCTTATTGTTTATTATCACAGCATACTACACATTATTATCTGCTCTGTGGTTTTTTTATATTTTCTGTTTTATTTCTTTTTCCCTTTTGGTGATTTCCTCTTTGAATCTTTACTGGCTGAAACAATGGCCTCTTCCCTTGCCTTCTCTGCAGCTAGTGCCTCCTGCTTCTGCTGCTCCAGTAAGAGGAACTTATTGCGTAGTTCCTCTCTCGGAGCATTCAGTCTCTCTCTTGTTGAGTTAAGGGCCATCTGAGGGAAAGAAGAGATCATAAATTATAAATGGTAAGTTAATAGCATACACCAAACAACAGTCTATATATTACTGACTCTATCATCATCATCATCATTATTGTTGTTGCTGTTATTACTTGTATTTTTATTGCTTTTCTAAGTTGTGCTTTCTTTAGATTGTCTCTCTTGAGTTGATCAGCTTCTCTCGCTTCGAGAACACTTTGTCTCCATTCCCGATACTTCTCTATTGTCTCTTTCTGCATCCTCTCCTGTTCATCTTCATACTCTTTATCAGCAAACAATGGAGACCCTAATGTACTCTCACTGAAAGAGAGGAGAGAGGGAGAGAGAGGAGAGTAAATAAGGACACCAGTCACCAGAAATCATAGTTCTATTTTTATACAAAGTCCTTACACATAAGGTGAAGTGTCTAAAGTCTTGAGAGCAACAGGAGCAAATGAAGGAATGGACTCAGTCCCAGTGGCAGTGGTACAGACACTCACTGCAGTGTCACTTGCTGCATCTGTGGGTACATGTGAGCGATACATTTACTGATAATAGAGCATTATATAGTAGTACCTCCCTCTTGAGTGGTGTCTTCTTTCTGTAGAGCATGTGTTTCAAGGAACTTTTGTCTCGACTTCTGAGCCTAAGAGAAAGGACCAAGCAGTAATATGTACACAATGTACTGTTACGTATAATTGTTTGATACTTTTTGGCTTCTGCCTGGTTGCTCAGTGTCCCATGCCTTTATCATGCTGTTTTGTGTGTCCTCTTTCTCGGTATCCTTTGTCACTTTAATCATACTGCTATTCTAAAAATATTAATAATAAGTATACAGACATGTATCAGAAAATGTAATAAGAATTGAGGGTGATTTCAAAGCTATCTTTTTTTTAAATGCTCATAACTCAAAAATTATTTGTTGGAATCAGCTCAAACTTTCTACATAGCATAAGGACATCAATATGTATCAGAAAATGTAATAAAAATTTGGGGTGATTTCGGAGCCATTTTTTGAAAAAAAAACCATGGGCTATAGCCTTGGGTATTTTTCAAAAATCGGCTCGTTTTTTAGAATGGTCATAACTCAAAAAATATTTGTCGGAATCAGTTCAAACTTTCTACACAGCATAAGGACATCAATATGTATCAGAAAATGCAATAAAAATTTGGGGTGATTTTGGAGTCATTTTTTTGAAAAAACCATGGGCCCTTGGGTATTTTTCAAAAATTGAATCGTTCTTAAAATGGTCATAACCTGAAAAATATTTTTTTAAATTAGCTCAAACTTTCCTCCTCTAAAAATTGGCCATCAATATTATTATTATTTATTTCTTACATCTGAGTCAGTGACTACTCGCAGTGTCCAGTGTGGTTTAGTTACGTCAACATTATCACTTTGGGATGTGTTGGCTCCTCCTTTTCCTCCTCCATCTCCTCCTCCAGTTGTCTTTGGCGTCTTTGAACCTTTCTCCCTTCCCTTTGTTTTCTTAGCCGAGGACGGCTTGTCTGAGGAGAGAGAGAGAATGAGTAAAATTATTAATAAAATAGAGAAAATTAAAATAAAATAAACAAAATAGAGAAATAAAAATAAATATAAAGAGTATAAATTAAAAATTAACTCGTTATATTTAGCATAAAAAGACACAGAAAAGGACACAGTGCAAGTGTTGCATATTTGTAAAGTGTTCTACCTTCTTTCTCATTGTTCCTAATCATTGATATGTACTGCCACGAGCTCTCAGACACTGGCCATGAATCCTGCAGTACTGACACATGTATGGTGTAGTGATGAATCTGACGAGAGAGAGAGAGAGGGGGAGAGGGTTTTGATTAAAAGACTGTTACACTTTATTTACTTCTTCTGGTTCTTCATCTTTCGCTTCTTTTGATGGCAGTAATGTTACTGATGGTATCACACAGTGACCACATCCTTCGCGACTAATAACTACTCCACCTTTATCAAGGACCTATATAGCAAGGGCAAGAGTTGTATGAGCTCTTAGTAAGGATCAATGGCTCAATAATTGAGCATATGTACCTCTAGCTTAAACATCACATCTGGTTTTGATGTATCAAGTTGAATGGTAACATGACACATACCAGTCACCTTCACATTGTATCTATAGCATCAAAGAAACAATGAGAAATTGAAATTAAACATTAAATATAAAAGTATACATTATAGCTTGAATGAATGCAATATTAGATGTACATGTAGTTTCTCTACCTAAGCATAGTGTAGTATCTATCAGGGAGATAGTAATTACGTATTACTGTAGTATGGAAATCAGTGCTGAGTTTCTCCTCTGAAGGCTCGTTGGTGAATGTTGGTAAGTAATTAGACGAAGATATTATCGTTAGATGCACTTTATCGGAAACATCAACCGGTTCTTTCAATGACCATATCTCACACAGCAACGTATAGCCCAACTGTGGAGGGAGAAGAAAAGGAAGAGATTAAAAAAAGAGAAACATCAGTTCAATACTCAATAGATTACAGTCTTACTTGGTTAGGCTCCACAGTGCATGACACTGGGTAAGGTAGACCGCATTTAGTTTCAATCATAGTATCATTGTTGATGATTTTAATGATGTATTTCTTCAACGATCCGTGGAGTCTGAATGATAATACCTGCTTATCAGTCACACTGAACACACTCCTATAAAAATATATTACCACTATATATAGTACTTATATATACTATTAGGTATGACATACATAAAGTAATAGGATTATTTTTAGCATTATTATTATACCTAAATAAAACTGCCCATTTGTTAGGCTCCAGTGAGGGTACAGGTGGTCCTATAGACAAATTCTTAAAGTAAGCTCTGCTGGTCTCATCCCCTCCAAAATGAAAGGTATCCAGTAGGTCAGGACGTATAGCAAAGAGACAGTTGAATATGGCCATACTCATGGCGCTGGACTGTGACTGGAGTAATGGTATACTGCTCTGGATTAGACTCTGTCTCTCGACTTTCTCCTTTGATTTACTTCCAGTCATTTTACCTATTAATAATGTTAACAAAAATATAATTTGAATTTTGAAATTTTAAAATTTAAAACAAAACCCAAACCAATCTTAATTAACTAATTTAACTATTTATTACAACTATATAAATAGTTAAACTACAACTACAGTGCAAGTTTGTAACAGTTGTTTAGTAAAGGATGATGATGATAGTGTTTGTGATACTGATCTACTTCAATGGCCTCCTTGTTAGCTCTGAGGGCAACTACCTTCCTTTCCTAAACCCTACTGACTATTCAACAGTAAAATATTATGCTGCAAATGTGTCACTGCCCTCAAAAATAAAATTTGGATCATCATGCTATACTGATGCATGGGTTAGTTAATAAACTGAATAGCAATAGTACAATAGTTAATTTATTTTATAGATAAATGATAATGGATTGATTAATTTGGGAACTAGATATTAGTGTTGTGCAGTACTCTATTTTCTGTTTTAGTTCTAGTTTTAGTTCTACCAACTACTCCATTTCTAGTTTTAGTTCTAGTTTTAGTTTTACCAGTACTCCATTTCTAGTTTTAGTTTTAGTTTTAGTTTTACCAGTACTCCATTTCTAGTTTTAGTTCTAGTTTTAGTTCTACCAGTACTCCATTTCTAGTTTTAGTTTTAGTTTTAGTTTTATCAGTACTCCATTTCTAGTTTTAGTTCTAGTTTTAGTTCTACCAGTACTCCATTTCTAGTTTTAGTTCTAGTTTTAGTTTTACCAGTACTTCATTTCTAGTTTCAGTTCTAGTTTTAGTTCTACTTGTACTTCCATTTTAGTTTTAGTTTTAATTTTAGTTCCATGCCAAATTCTGATTCTGGCCTTATAGTTCTAGTTTTAGTCCTACTAATACACCATTTCTAGGTGATTTTTATAAATTTTTAATGAAATTTAATTTTAATAACTTAAAAGGGTAGCATTTTAGTTCCAGTTTTAGTTTTAGTTATTCAAAAGGGTACCATTTTAGTTCTAGTTTTAGTTTTAGTTATTAAAAGGGCTCCATTTCAGTTCTAGTTTTAGTTTCAGTTATTAAAAGGGTAGCGTTTTAGTTCTAGTTTTAGTTCTAGTGATTTACAAGTGCACATTTTAGTTTTAGTTTTAGTTTCAAGTTCTTAATAGCTAAATCTTTAGTTCTAGTTTTAGTTCCAGTGCTTTAATTTGTCAAATTCTAGTTTTAGTTCTAGTTTTGGTTTTTTGTATCAATTAGTTCAGTTCTAGTTCTAGTTCTTGGAACTAGAACTAGGAAAAAAATAGGTGTACTAAAATAGATTTAGTTCTAGTTCCGTTGGAACTAGCACAACACTACTAGATATACATATAGCTATCCAAGACTCTTTCCTATTGCTACTCCAGTCATTGCTCCATATTGGGATGACAGTGACTTACGTGTAGGAGGTGAAGTACGTTATGCTGTTATAACTCCAGCAACTAATCTTTCATTGTGCAATCAAGTCAATGATTACTTATCTACTTCAACCAGTAGCAGTGTATCTGTTGAATGGATACTGTGGGCCTACTGGAAGGATGTATATCCATATTACCATTACTGGTATAAAAGTTATTACTGCTGCAATATTCAGGTTAATATTCTCTTGATATAAGTGTCTGTAATACTAATTAATATTAGACTATTAATAATGATTCTCTTATAGTCCAATCATTATCAAGTTGTATTAGCTTTTCAAAGTACTGCCACATATGCTGTGTTTATATACAAGTGTGGACTCATACGATGGACAGAATTTAGAGCTAGTGTTGGTATTAATAGTGGTGATGGGTATTACATCAATCATCCATCATCACGTGCTAATAATGTTACTGACATAGATTGTGATGGTACTATGTCAGGATGGAGTAATGTTATATACAGACTAGATCAAGGTATAATCACTACTACTAAATATCTATTTAACATCATTTATACGTAGGATATCAAACTATAACTAAGTTTGAATTCCTATCCATTACATCTCACAGTATTACAGTATCATGGGAACTAAGTATACCAGATATTAACAGTGCACTCATTCTGAGTGTTAGTGATTCTCGTGAGACAGTTAATGATACAATTATTGATGTCACAGGATATAATAACTATACTTATAATGACACTAAATGGGGATGTTTTTGCAGAGGTGTATATACCTTCAAACTGATATTAGCAGCAAAATATCGATGCAACAATGAGAGTAAAACTTTATCCACAGGTTGGCAATTATGCACATTGATAAAAAATACACATTTCTACTAAAAATTAGTTAATTTTGATTGCTATGATAACTGTTGCTTTTATCTCAGAATTAGGAGAAAATTCTCAGCCATCAAATTATTCACAGCCATCGGATCATTCACAGTCAAAAAATTGGTTGGAGTCATCACACAACATTATAATTATCGGAATTAGTGGAATCTCACTATTTGCCAACCTCATTTTATTGCTAGCAGTGGTGGTACTGCTCAGGAATAAATGTAAGTAAATTTTAGATACAAAACTAAAAATTTTTTATAAAGGTAGAAAAAGGTCTCAAAGTCCAACACCTCATGATCCAATAGTGCCAGTGGATATTCCTGTCCAAACTGAAGTAAATGCAGCATATGAAATGAAACAAAGGAGAAGGAATCAAATAGAAACAAGCAATGAAATACAAATATCTCAAAACTGTTCCTATGCTGATGCTACTAATGTTGATGAGACCATATATGATGCCATACCACAACTTCCACAAGAAATCCCACCTGAGCCAGACACACCTCATCTCTATGATGATGAATCAGCAGCTCAATATGAAATACCATGTCCCACTGTGAACCAGTAAACAATTGAGTGATAACTTAACATAGTTAGATACTTACTAGTATTCCTTTGCCTTTAATTGCTAGCCAATAGATATATAGTTGTGGTGTTTTTGTTAATTATTGTGATTCTTTATAATGATGCAAGTAATTACATACATACTGTGAAGAATGTAGCAAACACATAGTATCAAGAGAAATCAAATGTAATTAAATATTATCAAAGGGTTAACTATACACACCTGTATATATATATATCACGTATTAGTAAACAAGGAACAGGTAAACACCTGGTGAGTAGCATATCAACATATCGATTGACAAAAACAATACAACAGGATATAAAACTACAGGATTATCAAGTTGACATTGTATCTACAAATTAATGAAGAATGATGATAGTGTTTGTGATACTGATCTACTTCAATGGCCTCCTTGTTAGCTCTGAGGGCAACTACCTTCCTTTCCTAAACCCTACTGACTATTCAATACTGAATGGCTATGATGATTATGCAATAAATGTGTCATTTCCCTCACTAATAAGATTCGGATCATCATGCTATACTGATGCATGGGTTAGTTAATAAACTGAGCAACAATAGTACAATAGAATTTGATTCATTTTATAGATAAGTACTAATGGATTGATTAGCTTGGGAACTAGATACACAAATCATGATCCAAATCTCTTCCCTATTTCTATTCCAGTCATTGCTCCATATTGGGATGACAGTGACTTAACTGGAAGAGGTGAAGTACGTTATGCTGTTATAACTCCAGCAACTAATCTTTCATTGTGCAATCAAGTCAATGATTACTTATCTACTTCAACTGGTAGCAGTGTATCTGTTGAATGGATACTGTGGGCCTACTGGTATGATGTATGTCCATATGGTAATTATAATTGCAGGAGTATTGAGGTTAATATAGTTTATAATACTAATTAATAATAATTTTCTTATAGTCCAATCATTTCCAGGTTGTATTAGCTTTTCAAAGTAATGCCACATATGCTGTATTTATATACAAGTATGGACTCATACGATGGACAAGGAATGAGGCTGGTGTTGGTATCAATAGTGGTGATGGGTACTATATCAATCATCCATTATCTAACACTGATGATGTTATTAACATAGACTGTAATAATGTAGTATCAAGATGGAATAATGTTGTATACAGATTAGATCAAGGTATTACTACTATAAATATCTACTTAACATGATTATAGATCAATATCAATGTAGGGCAGCACCAAGTTATAGACAAATTTGAATTCCTATCCATTACATCTCACAGTATTACAGTATCATGGGAACTAAGTATACCAGCTATTAGCAGTACACTTATTCTGAGTGTTACTGATGATCAACAAACAGTTAATGATAAAATCAATGTAGCTGGATATGATAGCCATACATACAGTTATAGTAAAGATGATTATCTTTGCAATGTATATACATTCAAACTGACACTACCAGCAACAACAAAAGGATGCAACAATGACAATAAACTTTTATCTACAGGTACACCAATCATTAGTAAATATCACAATATTCTCATTAACTATATAGCAATGACTCCAATACCTCAAAATATTTCTGCATTATACCTCTTTCAAGAAACTTTAATAATAAAATTAAAGGTAAGACTATTTTGCATAATTCCAAGAGTGCACTCTTTTCTAGATGAATTGGTGCCATAAAAATGAAATATATATAGAGCTACTCTTGTCTGTAAATAAGACTTTTAATGTATCAAAGTCCTTGCACATTAATAATCTTCATCAATTTTACACTACCAAATGGAATATAAAACTGAACAGACACTCTCTATATTACTTAACAGTAACAGCAATTGGTATGTATAAAACTAATACTTCTAATGCAACAGAAATAAGTAAGATACATTAATCATTGTATGGTGAATGTAACCATTCATAAATAGGTATGCATAATGTAAGGGATATAATAATAAAGAGGAACGAAGACATTTCCTGTTTTATTTGTGTGACTGAAATTTTCAATAACTGTCAAGTATTGGTAGCATCAGCCAGAACAACACTGATACCATAATCAACACAAACTAATGGAACATGTTACTCATTTACTGATAATGGAACATACACTGTATATGCACATGATATTGAGAATGGACTAATAATACTGACACCAGCAGTAGTTATACAATATACAGTGGACTGGATTGAACCATCAGGCACAGGTTAGCCATTAAAAATGCAATTATATTACTATTCTAGAAGTGAGGGACCAATCACACATAACTCTAATCCTTGGAAGCTATCTTGGATTCTCAGCATTTGCAAATCTCATTTTACTCATAGCAATGGCAGTACTACTAAGAAACAAATGTAAGAGAATGTAAGGTACAAAACTAAAAATACTTTTCCCTATTGACTATAAAGGTAGAAAAAAGCCTCAAAGCTCTGTACCTCATAATCCAAAACCTGTCAAAACTGAAGTAAATTCAGCATATGAAATGATGCAAAGGAGAAGCAATGAAATACAAACAAGCAACGAAATACAAATATCTCAAAATGATACTACTAATGTTGATGATGCTCGTGTATCCCCAATATATGATGCTATACCACAAGAAATCCCACCTGAGCCAGAATCAACAACTACACATGAAATACCAAGCTCCAATGTGAATCAGAACATTTAACAAACACACAATGTGTCATAATTTTTAAGCATTTTGCCTTTTAGCAATGCTAATATTGTTTCTTAATCTCATCCATTGCAATTCATTACATGCACATGCACACAAATAGATACTACTGATACATACTGTACATGTACAAATCTACATGTATTTGCAGCAAACACATCATAGCAGTAGTATAAGAGAAATCAAATGTAATTCAAAGGGCAAAGCACTAAATGTAAGTAAACAAGCCAGTACTAAATGGCTGTTTTTTTGGAGCGTTACAAGGATGTTAACTTTGGCTAGCATTCCGCATCTATTTGTGCATACTTTATAACAACTAGATTAATTAACTATAAGTTATTACCACTGGTTATTGCAAGGCTATACTAAGGAAGAATGATGATAGTGTTTGTGATACTTATCTACTTCAATGGTCTCCTTGTTAGCTCTGGGAGTAACTATCTTCCTTTCTTAAACCCTACTGACTATTCAATACTTGATGGCTATGATGATTATGCTGAAAATGTGTCACTGCCCTCATTAATAAGATTTGGATTATCATGCTATACTGATGCATGGGTTAGTTAATAAACTGAATAACAATAGTACAATAGAATTTGATTCATTTTATAGATAAGTACTAATGGATTGATTAGCTTGGGAACTAGTTTTACTCATTATCGTCCAAATCTCTTTCCTATTGCTACTCCAGTCATTGCTCCATATTGGGATGACAGTGACTTACGTGTAGGAGGTGAAGTACGTTATGCTGTTATAACTCCAGCAACTAATCTTTCATTGTGTAATCAAGTCAATAATTACTTATCTACTTCAACTGGTAGTAGTGCATCTGTTGAATGGATACTGTGGGCCTACTGGTATGATGTATGCCCATTTCTTAATTGCAACAATATTCAGGTTAATATAAGTATCAATCACAGTACATAATTTGATAATTTTTCAATTGTCCAATAGTCCAATCATTTCCAGGTTGTATTAGCTTTTCAAAGTAATACCACATATGCTGTGTTTATATACAAGTGTGGACTTATAAGATCGACAGCATATAGAGCTGGTATTGGTATCAATAGTGGTGATGGGTACTATATCAATCATCCATTATCTAACACTGATGGTGTTACTGATATAGACTGCTATAATGTAGTATCAGGATGGAGTAACATTGTATACAGACTAGATCAAGGTTATCATTAATCACTACTATTGAAATTACTGACTTAAATTGACACTAGTACTGTTTTCAGGTGTTTAAGCTAGGTTTACAATATGTAACTCCAATCATTGCAACAGTTCTAGAGAATGCAACACTGATAATAGTATTAGTCCCAGTTTGGTCTTATGTTTCATTCTGTGCAACTTATGCAATCGGTGGAGTTACATTGTAAACCTAGCATTACACTAATCCAACAGCTACTGTATAGCAGAAAATATTGGAGGGAGTTAAATTTTTAGCAAATTTGGCATTTTAATGGCCATTTGCCGAAATAAAAATCTGCCATTTTGAGCCATTATGCACATGCTCAATGGCACAGCCACAAATTCGCCAAATTAAAATTTGCAAATCGCCAAAAATTAGCAATTCACCAAATTTAACTCCCTCCAAAATTTCCGACTATATGAATGCTTTCCTTAGAATTTATCATTTGTTTATAGAAGTGTTTGCTTTAAGTGCTTTGATATTTCATTTTAGTTTTCTTTAGTTCCGAGTTTGTTTGTGTAAACTAGACCCTTATATGTAGTCTGTGTAATGTGGCCTAAGCTGCTAATACTGCAATCTTAAAATTATTCAGAAATAGGAGAAAATTCACAGCCATCAAATACGTCTCGGTCATCACACAATTCTCTAATAATTGATATCTATTTTGGACTTTCAGTATTTGCTATTCTCACTTTATTACTAGCAGTGGTGGTATTACTCAGAATTAAATGTAAGTAAACTTTGGTTACAAAACTAAAGCTATATTTCTCTATGAAGGTAGAAGAAGGCCTGCACCTCGTGATCCAAAAGAGGACATCCCTGTTGAAACTGAAGTAAATTTAGCATATGAAATGACACAAAGGAGAAACAATCAAATAGAAATTATCCACGAAACAGAAATCATCAATGAAATACCAGTATCTCAAAACTGCTCTTATGATGATACTACTAATATTGATGACACTCATATATCCCCAATATATGATGATATACCACAAGAAATACCACCTGAGCCAGAATCAACAGCTCCATATGATGATGAATCAGCAGCTTAATATGAAATACCATAGATCTGTACAGTATCATATGAAATACCAAGCTCTGGTGTGAATTAGAGCAATTAAGTGATTAAAAAACACAAAATGTGTGATAACTAAATACATGTAGTTATACCTTTGTGCTTACGTAGTACAATTTATAGTTTGTTATAATTCATCATTGCTACTTTTTATATTTTACATATTACATGCATTACTGTATGTATATACAATACATGTAGAATCATGCAGGTAACACAAATCCACATACACGTACATGTATGCACACATAGTATAACTATGCATGTAATTTCTACATCACAATGTGAGTAATGATACATACACATGTACATGTAACCCATGAGCAACATGACAGCAATGTATTGGTTGATGATTTTTTAGACATTACAGGAGTGTCATGTAGTGAGGAGCGTTTTGATGCACTTAGAGCTAATTCAGGAGTTTTCACATCCTTCTCTTTCTCCTTCTCTTCTCCTCCTGTTTTTACTTCATCATCCACCAAACCCAAACCAGTTTTAATTAACTAATTTAACTATTTATTACAACTATATAAATAGTAGTTGTATAACAGTGGTCTAGTGAAGGATGATGATGATAGTGTTTGTGATACTTATCTACTTCAATGGCCTCCTTGTTAGCTCTGAGGGCAACTACCTTCCCTTCCTATATCCAACTAACTATTCAATACTGAATGACCACCTGGATCATGCAACAAATGTATTTTTGCCCTCACAAATAAGATTTGGATCATCATGCTATACTGATGCATGGGTTAGTTTAACTGTATACAATAGTACAGTAGTTGCTTCATTTTATAGATAAGTACTAATGGATTGATTAGCTTGGGAACTAGTTTTACTAATTATCGTCCAAATCTCTTTCCTATTGCTACTCCAGTCATTGCTCCATATTGGGATGACAGTGACTTAAGTTATGGGAGAGGTGAAGTACGTTATGCTGTTATAACTCCAGCAACTAATCTTTCATTGTGCAATCAAGTCAATGATTACTTATCTACTTCAACTGGTAGCAGTGTATCTGTTGAATGGATACTGTGGGCCTACTGGAAGGATGTATGCCCGTTTCT